GCTAGAGGAAATTGTCTTAATAAATAGAATGGTCCCACTTTGAAAATGGTCCAACTCACTAGAGTAGGGTAGCTAGATGAAATGGTCGAACCATTTGCAATGGTCTAACAAGATAAAATGATCGTACTTGTGAAATTTCATTTCATTTTGGTCCAATAAGTCAAAACGGTCGTGCAAGATAAAAGGTCAAACCGCTGAAAATGGTAGATCTGTCTAAAATGGACCAAATGTTTACAATGATCAACTACAATTAAAATGGTTGAATGGTTGTGACAAAATGGTCACACTGGTTGACTTGGTAGGCTCTTAGCCGGAAAAAGTTTTCAACCGAGGCACTATTTTAAAGATGTGCCAGAATCAAATTTTAAATTGAATTTGTGGTTCTGACGATAGCCAACACTGCGCTGTCAATCAAATATTGGTCATGTAAATTATCTTTCTTAATCGGATTGTGATGGAGGCAGCGATTAATTTCACGGTCGTTATTTCATACTCGTTGTGTGACTACTTATTTTACCTAAGGTGTCGCGCGGAAGGTGTCAAGGGGAATGCTGTTATTTACGTGGGCTGTCAGAACTCATAGTGGAAGAGCACCAGATCTTGAGACGTCGGAGGGCGCTAAAACTCCTCTCGCACGAGCAGCCTCCCACTGGCAAAGTAAGAATTAGATGGAGAATGCTGGACATGTTCGTATAGAACTGTTTATCGCAGCAAGCCACAGATTATATAAGAGTCGTTACTCTGCCATGATCACGTAGCATAGCCTTAACACGACGTCCTTCCAACGGGTGACCTGTAACCCAAATGATTCTACTGACAAAAAGAAAGCATTTCGTAATTCTAGTAGTAAGAAAGAAAATTGATGTAATACCCAACGTGGCATGCTATAGCCATAACCATAACCATGCCATAACCATGCAGGTTTTCAAACTACATTTTGGTTGGCAACGGAAAAAAATGATCACATTGTTGACTCCTATCAGATACCAAAGGCTCACCTCTTGCTCGAACGTCTGGGGCTTGGGGAACTCCACTGCGAACTCTTTCTTCAGACCATCTTCTATCTTAGGCGTTAGTTTCCCAACGTTTGCAGGAATAAGCAGTGTGCCTTGTAGTGCACCTTTCATGCCCTGGGGGAATCGGTCGTTCATACGCTTGATTACATGATCCAGGAAGGGGTAGTAACAATTCAACCTTTAGAACAAAAAACTGTCTTTCACATCCGCTTAGAATTAGAGAATCATAGAAAAATGAATATTAAAACACACACACACATACACCAAAATATGCATGCTCTCTTTTGGCAGGCAACTCATACCTATAGTAGTCAGAAGTTGGTTGAGTATTATTATAGGCTATTATAATTAAATTTTAGGCTTCAATCTGGGACATATGCACTCTCCACATACTACATTACTGTGCTGGCCCGCAATTGCTTCCCAGAGAGGCGAAAAGGCACCCTAGCATGATGGCGTTACAGCTAACTCAGAAAGGTTGCAATCGCTAAGAAAATTTTGGACTGGCTCTACCGAAAAAGGGCAGCTCCATTCGGCTTTGAATATCTTAAGTTTAGGTAATTGCTTACCCACATGAACTAGATCCAAGACATAATGGTATCTTGCACTTTCCGAGATAACTTAACATGTTCCGTGCATTTATACTGGTACATCCTTTAATGATAATGCTCTCTAAGAAAGGTATGTGCTCGAGAAAGGCTTGGCTGATATTAGATGTATTGTGTGAAAGATCAAGGCGTCGTACATTTAAGCATAAAGAAAGGCACTTCTTTATGAAGCCATCCGCACTATGATAACGGACTTCTTTTTAGGAATGTCTTAAACCTGGCTCTTCGAAATCACTTGCACGCTTCATAATGAATTCAAAAGACTGAATAGAAATTCTGCGTTTAATTCTAATTTCCTCCAGAGCTCCTTGTTCGAATAAACAGTTGTATGGAAACGGCGTGGCACCGTGCCAATGCCTGATAGATTTTCTTGTATGGTCAAATGGCTGAGGATCTTTCTGTCGGAAGTTCGTTTAAGGACCGGTGGCTCCGGAGATCTGAGTTAGATTGAAGAAAGAAGGCCGTATGAATTTCAATGAAAGTAAGCAAGGATCTAAAGCAGGCCTTTTAAAGGTAGCACAATCTTAAAAAGTTGACAACTTCTTTCACGGGGAAAGATCACAACAGAGGTGATTTCTAACGTACCTTGGGTCCCAACGCTTCTTTAGCGGGGCAGCTCTCATCACTGGCGTTTTCTTCATGTCAAGTGCTTGCTCCATGTTGTTCGACTTCACTGGTGGAACCGGCAGTTGCTGAACTGCTAAATCCCCGAATTTCAAAACGAAAGGGATTCAATTTATCTCTTTATGTTAAAATTGACCTAAAAAGCATCTCAGTGAAGGTCCTCTTACCGTTTTCGAGTAAAAAAACTGTTGTGTTGACGCAGCATTTTCGAAGCGAACCGAACAGAGGCGAATCGGAGCGACTGCCAGGTGCAACTGAGAATTGAGCTTGCATAGTATATTATGCAGCCTCTAATATTGTAGTAATTCAAAACATGGAATGCATTTTACTAGATTCAGTTACCATTTTGTTGTTGCTGTTGTGGCTGCTTGCTTCTAAATCTATTAAACACATAGGCGGAAAAAAAAAAGAAAAGAAAAAAAAGAAAAAGACAGGAAATTTCAACCGAGGCGAGTGCCAAGCCACTGTCACAAGTAAGGACAATAGCACCACTGAAACGTACATCGGACTTACAGAAGACGATTTCAAGGCAAGATACAGAAACCACACTGCATCATTCCAACACGCAAAACACAGAAAGTCTACCGAACTCAGCAAACACATCTGGACTCTTAAAAACAATAACATTTACCACCTTATTTAATGGCGTATCCTTTCATCAAGCTCACCCTGCAATAGCACAAGTAAAAGATGCAATCTCTGCCTTGAAGAAAAATTCCAAGTCATCACTTAACAAAAGTAATGAACTCGTGTCTTCATACCCTCACCGAAACAAAGTGTTGCTGCGTAGAAGCTAAACAAAGCATCTAAATTTACCGCCACATTTATTATGCAAATTTTATAGTGGGGGAGCTGGGGAATTTTGGTATTTTTTTCCAAAAAAAGTGTTGGCCCTCCCTTGCATTTTAATAATAAAAAAAAAAACTCCTGACCCACACCTTTAGGTAACTGACAAAAGTGCCCCCCCTCCCCTCTCTACTACATGGTATGTTCCACGTCGTAGAAACAACAGAACATTTCGCTTGTGAACGCAAAATGTTTGAATGTAGATATATCTCGGCAAAAGGTCTGGATAGAAGCAGATATGTAATGAAGTTAAGAAAATGAACGAAACTTTTTAAAAACATGTTTCGACAGTTTTTCTGTCATCTTCAGTTCTGAATAACATAAAATACAAAGTTGAATTTAAAGTGTGTAACAAAATGCTGATTGGACAAAACAAACAATAGTAACAGAACAATGTATGCATTTACAAGGAAAGTCTTAAATTAACATGATAAAGTTGATGATTAAGTGTAGGTTTCTCCCATTGAATGTGGATAGCTTCTTTGATTTTTAGTTTAAAAGTTGCGGAAGCGTAATCTAAGATGTTAGACACTCATCATAACAAAGAGGGCGACATTGTGGAGAATTATGTAGATGTCTGAAAATGTGACAGGTCCTATCACCTACCAAGAGCTCACGTGAGCGTTTGGGTATATGGCGAGAGGTTTCGCCGAAATAGTAGGGATTACGTACACATTTAATATACAGATATATTTAAGAAAATGAACGACACTTTTTAAAAACATGTTTCAACAGTTCCTCTGACATCTTCAGTTCTGAATGTTTTAATCAACAACGACACCCATTTTACTGTCACAAGTGTTAACCGTAAGAAAACCTTCACGGGCCTGTTGACTGATTGTTTTAGCTTTATACCTTAACCCTACAAACTGGGTCTCATTCGCACTCTTGTTGATAGAGCCTACAAGGTCAACAACACATGGTTGGGTCTCCACGAAGACATAAAAAAACTCACCGAAATCCCTAAAAACAATCTTTTTCCAGTGCATCTGGTTGAAAAGGTTGTCAATCGGTACCTCACGCTCACCCGTAATTAGTGCAATCCCCCGGTCTCCGTTTCAGACACTGCCACTAACTTTTATTTAAATTACCTCACATTGGCACTTTTTCTATTGTCACGCAAAAAAGGGTTCGCCAATTTGTTAAGAGTTATTGTAACAACATCGATATTAAGTTGGTTTTTTCATCTTTTAAAATAGGCAATATGTTTGGAGTGAAAGACCCTATCCCTCGTGGGCTACATACCCGTGTATACCTTGGAAGTTGTACAATCTTTTTTTGTTTATCTTAGTTTCTACATGGAGATAGTTTTGTAAAGGGGGGAAGGGGGTGAGAGGCAGGGGAGGAATCAAGCGTCCTAGGTCCCACCAAATCATTCGAGAAAACTAAAGGTAAGTAAACTTTATTCAGCAGACTATCAGAAGAGCGGATGAAGTTCGATAAAGGAGATCAAAGGTTACTAATCGTATTAGTTATGAATCGAATAAATGATGTCACTCGGCCTCAAACCTAAAAGGGTTTTCTACCGGCGGTGGAGGTGCATTATATCAGTTTTGAACCTGATCTCATGCATATAAGTGATATTTACTCGCTCAGCGAAACTATTAAAGCTTTAGTCATGTTACTTACTCCCTTTAGCATCATACATATAGCCCTATCGAACAAACGCAGACATTATTTCTTTTATTCAATAAGGGTTAAATCGCGTTTCTTCTTATGAATCTCTTGACAAAACACCCTGACACTACTCGGCATCTGTTGATATAACGAACGACATTTGAAATTTCGATTGTTCTCCGTGGCGAGTTTGCTGGTGGCGTGTGCTCGTGATGCAGCGACTGACAATGATATTTTGTGACGAATACACAACAAAAAAATACAATTACCCATAATGCTGTGGGGGAGCTGGTAATCTGCGAGGTAAACAGAAAAAAGGAAAACTCAGTTTATCGCATCGAGCGTACTCTACCTCATCAAGTAAGGGATAATTGTGTATCTAAATCTTGAGCGAAAATTTTAGAAATCGCAGCAATGCACCACTACCGACAGACACATCTTGATTCAGGAGAAACTTGCATCTACATTTTGATATTATTAGAGTCGTTATCAGTCATTTTCTTACAGCTTATGATCAGGAACAAATATTTTGTAATGCTTAGACTTACTCAGGTGTTTTTCTGTGCTAGATCTTTTATGCTGAAAACCAGACCAGAGCGAAGGGAATAGCCTTTACTTTTATGAGGTCATTACAACCCTCTCATTTCACAGATGGAAGCTTGCCAGTATTTGTTTTTCCACAATCGCTGACTTTTTATGCTGACGAGCAGTCTACACACAAGCAAGTGCTCACGGTTTACAATCCCTACGAGTTCACTTTACGGTTTAAAGGTATGTAATAGTGAATGTAACGGAAGACTGAATAGTAGTTTTGAGTTGCAGTTTGTTTAAGGGAGGTCTGGTCATTTAATAATGTTAAAGCTCACCGTCAACTTATGTTTGAATTATATCTTCATTTACCTGTTGTGTTTGTTTTGTTCCAAGTGTTTTGCACCGCTCCAAAGAGATATATGGTGGTTGATTCTGATGGCGTGATCAAACCTAGATGCTGCATTGATATGTATGTAACAATCCTGTATTAACCTTTATGTCCTCCAGTACAATCCTATTGAAGATATAGGTGACCCCCAACTGAAAATTCAAGTCAAAGTAAAAAGTAAAAAGTACTTCCTCATATATGAACCTTGCTGGACGATGATGTTGGTTTGTCATGGACTCTGGCAATTCCTCGATAATATAGACCTTTTCTGTTACTGATTATATCCATTCCTTTGAGTCAAGAGCAACTCAGTAGTCAAATGAAAGTCATTTTCTGTCTACAAAAATTTCTGTCTAAATTTGGAAACAGAATTTGTGTAAATGTTCTATAAATTGTTTACTGAAGCAAACCAGTGAATTAATAAAGGGGGTAAGTTTCTAGATAAACTGTGGTGCTGTGTTGGTAGAAGACTATAACAGGGTAATTTGGTGTTATCAACTGAATTGATAAAGAAAATTGGCCATTGTAAAGAGTTTAAAGGCTGACATTTCAAGTGTTAACCCTTCCTCAATCACTCTGACGAAGGGCTAACCTTCTAAATGTCAGCTTTTTAACTCCTACAGTGGCCAATTTATGTCATCAGCTCAGTTGATAATACTAAATTACAGTGGATTAATAACAAATGAAAAACAACACAAGTGGTAGTGGTGTTACAATTTAACCTCTCCACAGCTATCAATTCAAAAACCTGGGAAAATTTGGCTGGTTGAGGATAATGGCTATCATTGGGAAGAAGGGGTTTAAGGGTCTTTCAACATCATATATCCTTTTAGTAATGATCCAAGAAGCAACTTCCTGTTGTTGATGGTTGTAAAGCTTGCACAGTGCATCTCTATATGTTGCTCTGTCATTCACTCAGCCTAGTCTTTTTTCTAATAATTTACAAAATTTTATAATTCTGTTGTTACAATCATTTATGTAGTTTTATACTAATTATCATGACTATGAATTTTTTTGTATTTCTTCTGGCTTTTTTTTTTGGTTTTTGTGATGATGACTGCATTAACCAAGTGTACATGTACCAAATATTATGTTTTCCTGTAGTGATTTCAGTAGTTTTGCCTTTTTTTCTGTCCACATTTCTTCATTCTTGTTAATTGTTTAATTTTCGACCAGTTGATATTAAGCATGGCATATGGGCAATAGGATATAAATTGAAGCCTGAAGTTCCTCTTTCTCAAATATTCTCTTTTGAAAAATGAAGTTAAATATATTAGGTCAAAGATGAGAAATAGAACTTATATCATGACTTCTCCTAGTTGTTGTTTTGCTGATAGCCAGTTACCAGTAAAGAAAATTGCAGGGAATACAGAAATTTTGATGTTAGCAAAATAAAACTTAAAATAATTTAAGTATAGTAATATAAGTTTGTTTTAAATTTCCTTTGTATTTATATATTTAGGATTTTATTATTGATTACTGTGCTCACTCTCAGTTAAGTGATTCAAGGTTTTTATTTTTATTGAATTTTAGAGTAATCCGTCACAGTGATGTTCAACCTGCCAAAACACAGCAAGACAAATTTCGACTTCAGGTCTTTGAGTATGGGCTACAGAAAGTCATTGGTCAAAAAGAAATCATGGCTGTCCTTCAGCCAAGCAGGACAGAACATCAACAGGTATTGATGGCACACCAACAAATGTTCTCCTAAAGGATAAATTTCTTAATCCCTCTAGACTGTCAGTGTCCTTATATGCAAAACCATGATAACTACTGTAAATCTCATGAGGACCACAATGAGAACTATTGGTTCTACCAGTAATTGTGTTATCCAATAAAGTCATTATTATTATTATTATTACTATTATTATTTCTAGCCAACCATACCCTCAAGTCTAGAGTACCACTGGTAATACTTATTACAAATAAAACAGCAAATATGCTAAGCTAATTTGGCTGAAATCTACAGTAGCCTGCAGGAGTCATTCTAAATTATGAAAATAGCTGATATTGGTTTTGGAGTTTTAACTATGAGTCCAAAGTTACAACAGTTACTTTGGATCCAAACTTATAACTATGGAGTGAAGAATGAAAAAGTAAAAAGTAGGGATAGAAAGCTATAACTATAGATCCAAAGTTATACTAGGGATTCAAAGTCACAAAAGATCCATAATTAGAATCTGTAACTTGAGAGCTGTTTTAATAACTTTGAGCAGTAGTTATGAGGTCAGATCTGTAGCTTTAATTTTGAAACTATAGTTATTACTTTGGATCCATAACCCAAAGCCAATATCCAATTTTTTTCTTTCATTTATAATGACACCTTCAGGCCGCAGTAGAAATCATTTAAAATCAGATCTTCCCATCAAGTAGGCCTTGTGGTAACATCATGATGCATTTAATTCATTTTAGCCACCAATGAGATAGCAGTACATCTTTAAATCCTCTAAAGTGAAAAATTAGCAGTAATGAAGAGGGTTTAATGGTTCAATTTTGGTCTGGTTACTGATTATGTGCATTTTGTCCTGGTGCAAAAAAATATGTGATTTCTTCTAACAAGGTTCAGTCAGCTACTGTCAGTGACTTTTAATAAATCAGCTGGTTTGTGGGTATAAGTATTCTAGAGTCATGTACGTCTCAAGAGCCAGTGTGCAGCTTGCTTTGTTTCTCCAAGTCTTTTTGTACTCCTCCCATGAGCCCTTGTATTCCTCCTCCTAAAAGCTTCAATCTTTCGCTTAAACCACAATCAACCATGTGTAATATAATTTTTCTTTTGTGATGTCATGGCCTTTTAACTAAGCAGAAAAGTCTTCTCCTTGCAATCTCCTGACAAATTTATGGGAGGTTACAACCTCCTGCAAATTACTGGGGAAGTAAATAAGAGGATCTTCAAGAAACATCTGAAAAGTCCCAATACTCATTCATCAGGCAAGAGCAACTGTATTTTAGTCATATTTCAAGCCATTTTGAATTTACTCTTTCAGTTTAGTAATCACCTTGCATGAGGTGACTGAAGCACAGTACAAAGCCATTCCCCAGCAGTCTGAATGCTTACATATCTATATTCACTTGTATGATTTATTACTTATGTCTAATACTTGGTTGGCCTCAGATGCCTCGGGAGAAATCAACCACAAGATCCTCGAGGTCACAGAAAACAGAGAGCAGTGGTGTAACTGTGGAGCATTTTGCAGACTCAGGTAATATTAACAATAGTCATTACCCCTTTAATAAAATTGAAACTCAGAATGCTACTGTTCAAGTGAGAGGAATTGCAGTTGGTGAAAGCCACAAGTGTATCAAGTGAAAGCATCAAGGGTAATTTAAAATTGAGTTTCTTTGCTTTAATAACAGGGTTGGTGGGTCAGCAGGGTCCCAGTTTGTGGGTAATAGTTATGGCTGTGGTCTGTATTATTGCTCTGGTATTACCACTGGACAGTGACAAGTATACAGGATCAGTACCACGCTACCTTCTGCTGTCAGTCAATCAAAAGTTATTGGCTTCTTTTATCCTAGGTAGGCATGGCTTTTTTGTTATTTTCATTAATTTTAGCAGGAATGCCTTGATTAGAGTGCCTCTTCCTAACACAGTATTAAATTTTAATAAAGTAAGGAAACATTTTGGTGGGTTGCTTCATTGGTCAGTTGGTGGGGAGTCTACCAGAATGTCACTGAAGATTGTTGAAGATAAGTTGAACTGTTTGTTGGGGGAAGAATGACATGCACTGGGGGTGTTCAAATTTCCGCAGGGATTTTTGTCAATGTTCTTAGGAAGAGTATGCACTGGTAAGTGCAACTTTCTACTTGAAATGAGTCAAAACCAGTTAAATGATAGCATTTCTATATAATTTGCAGGTCTTATAACAATGGCAGTTTTAAAGACATGACAGTATTTACACTGTAATGGAGTATTTAGCTGACAATATTAGTAGTGGTGATGAGTTTACTTTTATTATTATTGTCAGTGATATAATTTTTAGGAGCATACCAGAACAGCCTTGAATTTAAGTTGAATCTTATAACAGCCTTGAATCTCATTATTACTATAAGCTGTGATAAAATTAATAGGTATTACAAAAAATACAGCTTGCACATGAAATAAACCATTTATCTATGTTGCAATATAGTTTTACAGTTTGTTTTCCTGTAGATTTATTTCAATTGGTTCTCTAAAGACATTTTAATTATCATTTCTTATCCTCATTGAGTCTAAGATGAAAAGAAAAAAATGACCTTAACTGTAGTCATTTACTAGACAGGTTTGGGTGGAAGAGGACTTAATGCATATACTGGGGTTTGGTTCCAATTAACTTTTAGTTTGGCTCAAACTAACTTTTGCAAAGATTACTTTCCAGTAGACAATACTTTGAATAATTGCTGTTGTTCCAGGTTGGATGGTAGTTTCCATCAGATTAATTTATTTATGAGGCAGGTGCTACAAAACAGGCTCCTTTATTCAAATATTTGAATTAACAGTGCAGTTGTACTTCAGTGGACCTGATGGTTGTTGAGTGTAAATAAGGGACTTTAATACATATAAAGAAATGTGTAACGGTTTTTTTCCCCATTATCAAAGTGGAGGGATGTGTGCTGAACTCTGTTGACTGTGCATAATGAAGCCATCATGTAAATGGACTTACCTATTAATAAATGATGCAATCTCTTTGTAGACTGTGTTCTTTTAATGTTACTGTTCAGTAAACTAGTGGATCATTAATAACAGCAATTACCAACACTAACTTAGAACTTAAAACAAAGGCATTGGTAGGTTGTATGTAAACCCTCAATACTAGAAACAAAGATTGAATGGGCATGCTTACATTAACTGCATGTGTGCCCCTGCATTTGGCTTTCCAAAGTGCACTACTAAATGGTAGTTTTGAATTTCTTATCTCTAGTGATTTAAAGTACTTCTCTGTAACCTTGGATGTTTGGTTATTATGTGTAGTTTATTTCTATTAACATATGTTTGTAACTACTTCTATTACAGCTATACACACACCAACCTTTCACTAATACAAATTCAGAAAACTGTGAAAAAAACAACTTAGCTACTGAAACTTTTACACTTATTGCCCTAGTCACTACATTCATAGCTTGATACTTCCCAGATACCTAGGATCAACCACTTTCTAACTTGCTTCATCCCATTTGTCCTGAATTGATGCAGCTGTATGAACATACCATCATGCAGTAGCAATATCAGGCTTCAGATGCTATTAGTTGTGGATTGATTGCGACACTCTTTGTACAATTATCAGTTTTAAATATACCAATTAAACGATCAGCCAACTCAAACATATTGTTTCGCAGGCTGATTATTATAAACTGAGCATTTTTTGTCCTCTCCTAAAACAAAGAGCAAAGACAATAAATACAAATCAGTCAATAATTCATGATAGGGGTGGTGCAGGGGTCAATAATTTCTAACCATGAGTATTAAAAATGGTCAGCACCACTATTATGCAGATATGATGTGTGACACTGCTTGAGTACAAGAAGTTTAGTGCAGTTGTTGTAGCCTACCATTTAGCGAAGTTCTGAAACAGTCTACAAGATCATCTGATACTGTTTCAAAACATAGCAGAAAACCTTGTGATATGGTTTGGGGGAAAAGATTTTGTAATGGTTTGGGTGAAGTGGGAATATAGGGTATGACTAGAAAGTCTAAAATATGTAGTTAAATGCTTGTGTGGAAAAAAAATCAGGGTGAATTTAATATAACTGTAAGAGGTTTGAAATTTTCTTAATACAATATAGAGTATTCACAAACAAAGATGGTGTAAATTTAGAAAAGTTTCAGAGATTGCAATCCTGAAATACTGCTAAAACTAAATGCACTGGAATTAATTTACTTTACTGACCTTGATATAATTTGCAACAATTGAAACATTTCTGAAGTCAAGGGCTGCATCAATTTCATCCATCACATAAAGGGGTGTTGGCTTGTAATGATGAAGAGCAAATACCTAAAAAGCCCACAAGAAAAAGAAAATATCAAATTATCCTGAATTACAGTCTCGTCCCATATTTCCATACAAGCACTTTAAACTTCTGTAGGTGAGTGAGCAATCATGACAAAACAAGCTTGGGTGGGGTCTCAAATTTTCAACCTCAGACGACTGTTATCTCAGGTTCTAATTAAAAATTTCCCAGCAGTGAACAGCACAGTACATTAGTTTTCATTATCCTACTAGTATTCAAAACTACATTGAGTAGTTTACAATGCTTTAAATGAAAACCATTCAAGTGCCCTCAATTTGGGAATCAAGGCCAGAGTAGAACACCAGGAACTATGTTCCCTACTCTTGCAAGAAGTGCATGAGTGCTTTGACATCCCTTGCTGACCAGTACACAGAGGAGAGGGGTTTATGGTTTATCATCTTCATCTGAGCAGAAAAGAATGTCTAACCATTTGCAGAAGTCAAAGCAAAGGAAGCACATTCTCTTCAGTGTCAGGAAATATGAATAGGTCCTGAGTGACTAGTAACAAGCAAACATAATTCTATATTAAATAAAGTTCCTTTCAAACCCACGGCCTACATGAGTAGTAGCATAAAGTAAAGTGGGTGTTTAAGGGTGGTTAACAACAGATGTGGTTGCAGTAATCTGTGATAGGTGGTTGCTTAAAGATTTCAATTTGGATTCCAACTCCGCTGTTCTCCAACTGAAAATGCAATAACTTTGCACATGGTCCATCAAAAAGGGCCAGATAGGGCAGTTCCACTGCAGCTTCAATTTTAAGAATCGTTACAAAATATACTAATTGCTAGAACCAAATATGTGCTCATACCAGAGCCAGTGAACTCAGAGTCTTCTCTCCACCAGACAGATTAGAGATATTCTTCCAGCTCTTCTTTGGTGGCCTCACACTAGAAAATAACACCATTATTTCTACAACATGTTCCTCAAACAACCTTGACAAATGACATTTTGTGCAATCTCTGTTAGAACTCTCAAAGCAAATTAATGTTTCCAGTGAATAAGATAACTTTTTCCAGGCCCTATGTCAGTGGAGATTCACAGAGGAGCAAGCAAGCCACTGAAAATTGGTAACTGCCTGGGTAAGGAGTGGGAAACCTTGTTCAGAATCCCTCAGCATTACTACAAAGATGATACTTGTAACTGTAAATTATGCACTGCTGGCCAACAAAGGGTGGCTACTGTTACTAATTGGGCATTCTTTTTTATATCACCTTATTCAATAGAACATCTTGACACTACTTATCTAACACTTTTCACTTCTGTCCTAAACACACTACCGAAAAGTTGCATAAATTCACTTATTTTGATTTTTTTTAATAAGGTAATTACCTTTATCCTCTGTGTTATTAATACTATTATTATTATCCTCAGGATCATTAGTATTATTATTTAGGTACAGGTTCCATTTCAGACATTGAAACACTCATAACAAAGTTTATGGTGATTCATCATAGTGATAACACTAGTAAATGAAGTATTGTCAATTGCCTCATGATGTAGACACTTTCAAAGTGGATTATGGTGTTCTGTCTGCACACTGCAAATATTTTTCCTGCTGTGAGGTGAATATCACTGATGCTGGGTAAAGAGGTGATACACAAAAGATTTCCCCAGACAATATTAAGGGAGAGTGGAAAATAAATTGTAGAAGCACAAATGCCCACCATCAAGACTCACTACAACAACAGTGCAATATGGGAAACATCTTCAAATTGTACCAACTGAAGATGCTGAAAACCAGCCAATCACCACTGAGTATAATATTTCAGGGGATAACACATAGCCAAATGATGGCATTATTTGAAGAACAGCAGGTTGCAGTTGAAATATCAAATCAACACGAGAAGTGACTATTTCATGAGACAAATTAAAACACTTCAATTCTACTCAAAATCTTGAATTGTTATACACAGACACAATTTTTTCCAAATTAATCATAACTAGCAAACAACTACGTTAGGTCAGTCATGGGTGTTACTAAACTGTGGATCAGCAGATTGCACAACCCGTGCAACCCATATTTTTTGCGATAGAAAAGTAATGAAATAAAATAAAACTAGACAGCTTAAGACTGCATATGGCTACTGATATAGCACAATTTTTGTGGTACTGAAAAGAACTTAAGGTTACACAATTAGCTGGAAGGTAGTGTTGCAGAAGATTTGTCTCAGATGCAAAACAAAAAACCTGCTGCATCCTACATATTTATGAGTACCCTGTTCCACAAGAGAGAAAGACTATTCAAAAATATAATAAATAATTGACACACAACCAATGATTATATAGTAACAAATAATCATATTGATAATAATAATAGTAATAATAATAATAATAATAATAATAATAATAATAATGATAATAATAATAATAATAATGACAAAAATAGTATATTCTGCCATTCCACCCTCCCAAAATTCCATTGAGTAATGTAACCCTGTAAAACCTCAAGGTATCTTATTTTGGACCTTACTCATTCCAAATTTACTAGATCTTTTGGCTATTAGTTGCTGATAGAAATGGTAAAATTCTCCATCTTTGAGTGAATAACATTTTTCTTCAAAGTTTTCATGATGTGCCGATCAGAACTTTTAGATATTTCTGCAAGCAAAAGTCTTGTGTTCAATTACTTGGAGGAGACACTACAGTGAAATTATTTTGAGATCTTTATCATCTTTTGTAATTATAACTTCGGATCCACTGAGCATAATTTGCTGATTCAAATGGTGAAATGCTTTCTCTTCAAACAAAATATTTTTTCTCTAAGTTTTCATGATGTGCCAATCACACCTTTACAAGGTAAAGTTTTTTTTTACATGCCATTTTGAAATGATTGTAAGATGTTTACATTTTCTGTTGTCCTTGGAAACAAAACAATGAGTGGTCCCAGGAAACATTGTGATCACATGCTAATTCTGAGCAAAATTAAAAGCAATTCCAAGAGATTGCCACCAAGTGTTGAACAACCAAAGATGTTCTAAAACAAGCAAAAGCCAAGAACAAGGAATATTGGGCAAAACTTTGCAGACTTTGTTGTGGGTGAAGAGGTTGCTTGTATTCTCTTGTTACACTCACTCACTCACTCAACAGGACAACATAATGGCTTTGCCTCCAATAGTAAGCAGTAGTCATAAAAACAAAAAGTACCCTGATACTATTTGAAAGTTCCTTTGTGGGTAGAAAGGAGATTACTTTTAAAGAGACACATGTTGCAATTGTCCTTGATGTCCAACTTTAACTGTGGTGGGATGTCAAGGCAGATAAAAAAAAAAAAAAAAAAAAGAAAACACATTACTCTTTGAAAGTTATCTTCTTTATACCTGGAAACTAAATTTCACAAACAGTGTTCAGGTATTTTTACTTTTTGTTTTACTTTATCATTATTTTTTGAACAAAAAAATAATAGTTCCATGGTCTGCTTATTCACAGTTTAATAACACCTGTTAATTATTCCCTTTTTGTGACAGAATTTAAGACACTTGCAAATAACCTCCATTTGCACCACACTCCTTCAATTTATAAGGAAGCCTTTTTGATGAGATAACTATCTCAGGCAATGCAATTGGACATAACACTATAGAAATGAAATAAAGTAATACAGTATTATATTTACATGACCATGTACCTGAATACAATTCCTTCAGAGAAGGGATCAAGGCTGTCAACCAACTCCAATTCAGCATCACCACCGAGAGTAATCATCTAGTAAAGAAATCAACAACTATAGGCAAGGTCTTCAGTCCAAACAAAACCCTCAATAACAGTCATTCAAAGTTGATGTAACCATTTTACTGAATGCATTTAGTTTGTATCACTCCTAAAGCTTTTATCACTCCTAAAAGATTTTCAGTTTCCCTTTTCCCCATCAGATAACAAACAAACAAACAAAATAACTGAAAAAAGCAAACAAACAGTAAGCATGTAGGAATTGTAGTTAGCACTGTCATGAAACAGAGATAAGTTAATTCTTAGACCTAAACATTATTACAAATTTTAGTTGCTGCTGTTCCATTCAACATTCACTTCACTGATAGGCCAATTGTAGTAAAACAAAGTCAGTGGTTTCAATAAGATGGTAGATGGCTACCTTGTTAAAGCAACTGCTAAAGAATAATATGGAAAACAATTTCTCTCTTGGTAGCCCATTATTTCCATTCAGATTTAACTAGCTTCAAATGGATAAAGGGGGTAACTTTCTAGACAAACTGTGGTGCTGCACTGGTGAGAGAGTCAACATGGTAATTTGGTATTATCAACTGAATTGATAATTTAAATTGACAACCATTAAGGGTGTTAAAGCTGATGTTTTGAGTGTTAGCACTTCATCAAAACTTGTTTATAACATAAAAACCCTTGAAGATCTCAAGATGTTACATGTCTCACTTTCTGAGTTTGCTTGAAAGCTTCCAAACAGTCATAAAAAGATCCAGAATGATGTTAACTAACCAACATTGCATAGTAATAAACACTTTCAACAGGCGGTCTATAAAACCAATACAAGACAGTATCCTGTGTGTATCAAATTTCCATATGTATATGTTAGAATACAGGACATTTCGCACAAAAGACTTTTCGCACAAGTCTTTTAGCACAAGTTTTGGAACGTTCGCACAATTCTTAGTGGTCATTTCGCACAACAATTATAAGTGAGAAACATCGGTATCCGCGGGTTTCGCCCATAACGAGTTTCGCCCAAGAAGCGTTTCGCCCATAACGAGAATGGTTTCGCCCAGACTGACAGTCAGTGATTATCCAGGCTAAGGGCCTCTTTAGACATATGCTTTAGATGAGCCCGGTAACCGGGCTTTTGTTTTCTGTTCATACAATGTTCATACACGACTTTCGTAATGGTGGACGTAGCGCGGGGCCTGACCTTCTTGTCTGGGTCGCACAGGTTGTTTGCAAGTTATACAACAGTCGTTTGAACACATTTTTTTGGACGAGACACGAGAAATTTCGTATGGCGGGTTTGTATGGCGATCTATGATCGAATGACTCTCGTGATCGGTATTAACCCCTTTTATACTGGAATAAGGGGCGGATTTTTTTTATTGTTAGTCGGCATGTCAACTGAGAAAGGCGGACAACAACATCTTATAAAACTTGTTAACAAATTGTAATTAGGACCGCGCGTCTATTCATAAACAACACAATTACTATTGGTATTCAAATTACATTTGACTTCACTTTGGAAACAATAGCGTGCCAAGTAAACTTCAGTTTTCTTTTCAAATTCTATTGACAAGTGAAAAGGTGAGATTTTTTTGGCCAGAGTAAACAACGGTTCTTTTCAAGTTCTATTGACTAGTGAAAAGGTGAGATTTTTTTGGCAGGAGTGAACTTCGGTTCTTTTCAAATTCTATTGACTAGTGAAAAGGTGAGATTTTTTTTTGCAAGAGTGAAAATCTATTGATAAGCGAACAGGTGAGATATTTTTGCAAGAGTAAGCTTTTCAAATTCTATTGATAAGGTTTGATTGAGATTTTTTGTGCAAGACGGTAATTTCCTTTAAGTTAAAGCTTTCGTACCGCACGCTTCGTCGGAGTAGTAAAGCTATTCCACGCGCGCGCACTCATGAACTTGACTAGTTTCTATCTCTTTTCCAATTATATGTTGCCGTTACCTATGTCAGAAATACAATCTTTAACTCTCGATTCCTTTGTTTTAGTATTCACGAAACCGTATTCACATGTATTCATAAGCTGGCGTGCGGAACTTATCTTCCGTGTACAAAAGATTTGCAACGATGATATGTTCCACGCGCAAGTGTTTTCAAAAGCGTTTAATTTAATTCTCGAGAAGAAAAGTGATGCAAAAAAATTATAGCAATGCTTTTACGACAAACGGACGTCTCTGCAGTATTTCGTGCGCGAATTACCTTAACAATCCCCGCTCCACAGTGAAAGCTATAATTGACTTGTTCGTTTCGACAGTAACTTGTTCGTTTCAAAATTTCATGATCTCAGGTCAAGTCACTTTTCTTCATTCTGTGCATACAAACGTTTATAAGGTTGACGTTTTCCGAGTGAGAGTGTAGAAGTTTTACTTATGGGCGAAACCTTTATTGTTCTGGGCGAAACCATTCTCGTTCTGGGCGAAACGATATGTGCGAAACTCGTTATGGGCGAAACCCGCTATAACCGAAACATCAATATAAAAGGTATACTAATTGATACTGATAAGACATCTCACCTTCACAAAGATCCAACAGCGAGAACGTAGACATTTATTTACGTAATAACTTCAACTAGATCGAAACGCTTGTGAACACGATCACTATTCTTACTTGAAGAAAGGAACAAAACTTTCTCTCTATGAAAATGTAAAGAACTCCCTATTCGAACGATTACTTCTTTTACTTTTCCTTTGTTAAACGAAAAACCTTTTAGTTTTGACAGTACATCATCCACTACAAACAAACGAACACGACGACCCAACGCTAAGAACGCCATGTTGATTTCGAAAGTAATTGTCACCAATCCTCCCTCCTCTGAAGTCAAAGTAAAAACCTGCAAACTGTTTCACTTTTATTTAAAAAGAGAAAAGACCTATTTACAAAATTTCTGTGTAAATATATAAAATTCAAGTTCACGGCCATGTTAGAAATTTTAACTCGCTACTCGGTCAAGACTCGTAGAAATTTAGCCCTTTCCTGCATTCATTTAAGCTATAGTACTTCTAAATTTCTTTATTTGTTTTGATCTTAAGCTTGTATGATTACTTATCGAACGGCTAGCGTACAATCTTTGAATTATTTTGAATTCTTGAAACTTTCGTGAAATCATTTGTTTACATCACGGTCGCTATGACGCTTATCGATCGATACTGAACTCTCCATCGCTTAAGTAATTGTTATTAGAATAATTTGAAAGGTTACAACTTGATAGATGTATTAAACTTCTCGATCTTTAAAATGATTGCAGATCGAACTTGTCTTTCTACAAGATCACTATTTACTACCTACACTTACACGTTCAAGTTGTCAAACCACAACACTTGCACGTGCCGACATTCGATGTGAATCACTCTCTGAATATCGAGTTATCAACGTTGAACTTTTTTTGCTGTATTACCAGTATGCCTAATTTTCATTATACAACGAAGATATGAGAAGCAAGTTTTCAATAGCTTTATTTGAAACTCTTACAGATCGATAAAACATACCATTTGAAGGCGACCGAACAAGGAGGGAATACTGATGACAATTACTTTCGAAATCAACACGGTGTCCTTAGCGTGGGTCGTCATGTTTGCATGTTAACTTTATATTGGATAATACTGTCAAAACTAAAAGGTTTGTCGTTCGACAAAGAAAACGTTATAGAAGTAGTCGTTCAAATAGGGAGTTCTTTCCATTTTCATGGAGAGAGAGAGACTTGTACCTTTCCTTTCTTCAAGAAAGAATAGTAATCGTGTTCACGAGCATTTTGATCTAGTTGAAGTTATTACGTAAATAAATGTCTACGTTCTCGCCGTTGGATCATGTGAAGGTGAAATGACTTATCAGTATCAATCAGTATACCTTTTATATTGATGTTTCTCACTTATGATTATTGCGCGAAATGACCACTAAGAATTGTGCGAACGGTCCAAAACTTGTGCTAAAAGACTTGTGCGATAAGTCTCTTGTGCGAAATGACCGGTTACCATATGTTATCAAATTTTGATGCGACCATCCAAGCCTTTTGTTGCCTGGCCAAGCCAGATCCTATTGTTTTTCATTCGTACATCACTTTTTGATTTACTTTGTAAAGCCATGATCTTTGTTAACAGATTTTCCTTCTGCTTGCAATTGGAAACAAACTTCTCAGTCTCCTGCCTCAAAAGACAGAGTGCACTTTCTTGTGATTGCAAGTTACTGAGTAAAATAAAAAGATATGCAGCGGTGAATTCTGCAAGTTTTATTCATTGGAAAAACCCCAGGATTATTCTTGTCTGTAGAAGTATTGACACACTCAGCTGCGAATGTTTACATAAGATTATAGAGTTAAATCAATTAGCCAATAAATTCTAACTTTTCCCAAGGCTCATGTTTCATATCAGTTGTAAACAATTGCTGCTGCTTGCCCTACGAAAAAAGTGTAAAATCACTTACTCATGTTCTGGCTAACCAGTAACCACAAATGCAGCTTTTAATTGTTAATCAAAGGTTAGATGCTAGGTGTTCATTGGCTGTTTTTGTTCCTCTCTTTGTAGTTAAGCCTTGGGTTAGTATTTTTGATGCAAACTTTTAAAACATCTTTGCAAAACCATTCCAAATTTGGTTTATGTGTGTTATTGACAAGTATGCTATTTTGACAATTTTGATTTTCAAGCTTGTTTTCTAACCAGCAGCTTAAAGGAACTATTGTTTTGTTTGTCCAAAAATATCTGATGATCTTAGTTCAGCATAGAGTTGCTCGAATATTATTTTAAATATCTGACGATGTGTACTTTGCGCATAATGAATTTATGTAGAACACGCAAAAAAAATCAGGTAAAGAAAACTGCCAGTGAAAGAATGAATCTAATAATAAAAGACCATGGAATTTAAAAAATAAATAAAATGAATACTTCAATACTCAATTAACTATTATTTTCTTTGTTATATAATCTATTTTTTTGTTCTGAAAATTAGACTTGAACGTGGCAAATTATACCCACCAATTCACTACTGAGTCTTGTTGAAAGCACTGAAAGTCAAACATGTAGATAATTATCTAACCTGATACATTTCTTTCAGCTTGGTAGTAATGACAGAAAATCCAGCCATGAACTCATCAAGGCGCTGTTTACGCATAGTATCATGTTCTTTCCTTTTATGGTCACGTTGTACCGTCACCTCATCAAGATCCTTAACTCGATCCAGGTATGCTTCTTCCTGTAGGAGAAATATTGTACATGCACAAATCCAAAATAAAAGATCACTTCACTGTAGAGTTTTCATGAAAAGTTTGTGCTTCGCAGGCTCATTAGTATGTTATTATCTCAGAGGTTGCAGTCTTCTGTAATAATAGCATGGCTGAGTTTGCACATGTATCTTACAAGTTTCTTGCGAACACCCTTTGAAAAATTGCACATCAATTACAAATGAATGTGGGGCCCAGCATACCCAGAGGATTTTAAATGAACAATGAATGTAAACTTTAAAACCTTTGCATTAATAAATGAAAATTTACCAAATAACTTTCCTTAAAATACCTTTTTGCGATACTCTGCAATGGCTGCTATGTTGGGCTTCATTTGTTTCAATTTCTCCTCCAAAACAGTGATCTCATACTGGAAGAATAAATCAATAGATAATTAGATAAACAAGTAAATAAATATATACATAAAAAATAAATCAATGGCAAGACACTATTCAAAGATGTTCCAAAAAGGCCCAAATAGATTGACGAAAAGTTGAATGTGGGATAGACAGCTGATGGGAAAAAGATAGGAAAAGATACATAAAATACACGTTTGCAAAATGTGTTTTACTCTACCATAACAGTTTCCTTATCAATCCCTTCAAGTTCACCACGTGATAGAGTTGGAAGACCCTCATCTGCCTCAGCTTCAGCAATGACACTCGCTGATACAAGTGTCAACCTACTCAACTGAAAAAAGACAACAGCAACAAAATCACCTGCAGATCAAAATAAGAGACTAATTTATCCAAGGATGTCTATGAATTCCTGCTTTTGTGTATATGTGAGTGTGTACAAACATCTATTAAATTTAGAAACCTAGATAAGATAACAATACCTCCTTCTGCCAGTGTTTAACTTTCTGTTGGTTCTCTTTTAAAACTGACTCATATTTTTCCACTTCATGCTTAATATCAACCTCCTTGCTCTTCATTTTGGTCTCCTCCTGCTCAACTACTGCCACTTCCTTCTTCAAAAACTCTAAAGATTCTTCCATTGCCAACATTTCTTCCTAGAGAATGAATAGAAAGCAAACCCTCTGCATAATTGCCCAACTGGGGTTGTTCTCTACAGTTGCCCAAATCACTCGTCTTTGGACATAGAAGATTTTCATTTGCAGATGGCTTTTGTTTCATTGATTATTATTAATAATAGTTATAATTGTCACAAAAACTGCCCCTGACCTTTTTTATCATTTAAAGTTTTATCCGAAAACTTCTTTATAGAATTTATATGAAGAATCATTGGATAAAAAAAAAAAAAAAAAAAAAAAAATTGGGTTAAGGTTAAACCAAATACTATTGTATTTTTCTTTTTACCAAAAAAAAAAAAAAACCAAAAAAACTTTATGTTAGTGTGTAGAGTGGTATGTTGCTTACACCAATCAGATAGTCACATTAGGGTATTTATCTTACACTGATCAGATTGCTGCATAAGGGTATGTATCTCGCACCAATCATATCACAGCATTTGGATATCTTGCAATAGGGGCTGTACACAAAGAATGATATTAACAAGAAATTTTGGGCTCATTTGTGGCCTTTATGAGAACCTCATCAACCAAGGTTGAGATTTATCAGGATGTGAAAGCTAGGTTTACATTTCACTTTTGTATCATTTCTATGTTAAAAGGTGTCTTTTTCACTCCTTTACTCACAACACACATGCTTAACGACTTACATTCCATCACATACCATGAAACGTCCAAAGTCCAATCAGAATATACCCAATCAATGTGCTACATGAACATTTGCCAATTTTCCTCTTGCTTAAATTGTATTCCACTGATAAAATTTCATTTTGCCACATTAGCCTTCCCTCCATGTCATTTCATTGGAAACAACCTGCATTTTATCATGAATTCTAACTACATTGTCCAACCCCACTGAAAAAGATTCACATGAAACTAAAAGCTACTGATAGTGAATTTTCCATTTAATTCTCCTGTGTTTGAAATTTTTCTACAAATAAAATTTGCTTTTAGCTACCTTGGACTTAACCCAATTGCATGTTGATTCCTTGTAAACAACCTGCATTTTATCACAAATTTCACACACAGAGGGCAAATTCCAGTTAGGTGACAACCAATCAAGGAACCCTCTTTAAAATATTATCCTTTTTTCCTGTGCATTGTATCTACAACTATTCGAGATTGCAATATATATTTGGTTAGGGTATATTGGAGATACAACAGTTTCAATTCACTTTCAATTGTAAAAGTGCATGGAATTATATATTATAATTAAAATTATAATTTGGAGGTGATTAATTTTGATTTTCTCTCTGTTAGAGGAACAATAAGCATAGTCCCTTTTGCAACCCTTACTTGGCCTTGTCATGCATCATGCTCTCTCTCCAATGGGGAATAGATGGCATTGTGTGACAAGACCAAACAACAGCTGCAATGGAGAAAACAGCAAGTGTGGCACTGGTGCATTTTATTTTCACTTAGAAGTATTAAGACAGTGGAGACAACAGACCACAAAATACCTATGTGAGTACAAATAAATTTGGTTTTTTTCTCCTTTTCCTTAAGGTGAAGTAATGTGATATTTTAATTCTTAAGGTCATGCTCTTTTTCTGTTACAAAAATGAAAACATCAGGAATGTAAAGTATCCCATCTCAACTCACCCAGCCAAGAAAAAAAACTTTTGCATGCTACACATACCTATGTTTTATAGTATATGAAGTATGAGCTGTGGAAACAGTTAAAGTCATGGGCTTATTGATTTTATTCAGTTATCTTATGTCAACACTGGTGCCTGGGTTCATCTGTTCTTGAAACACTTTAAAAATTTAGCTGACAAGAATAATCGTGTGCTTTGAAAAGAATGTAAATAACTTCAGAATCCTTCTTTCCAGCAGTAACCTCTGTATTTGGCAGCAGTGAACCGTATTGCTGCTAAAAAGTCTTCACTTAGTCTTACTTGTGAAAGATGCCAAAAAAATTGCTAACTAATGTGTAAGTCGGAAACAAGCAAGTTTCCTAAATAGAGACTTATATCTGATGAAAGAAGGCCAAGGAAAAAACAAGAGACTGCAGTGGCCCTCACTTGGGTTTCCCTCTATGACATGATGAGTGTGTTACTAAATTGAGTTATACAAAGCATCATTGGCTGGAAAAAATTGAGTACTTGTTAATTGTTTTGATTGTTTACAATGTGATGCAAAACACAAGCCATGAAGTTTAAGTCATCAGGTGATTGATTTGATGTCAACAAATGTGGCACTCAAGGATTTACAACACACCCAGTAACTGTTCAAGTCAACCAGAAGTCATCTCACCTCAAGACATGTTGTCCAAAACCTGATTCATGTCACCAGAAATAAAAAGTCAAGTCACCCAAAGAAAGCAAAAAGCAGTGTTCGTTTTTAATGACAGAATGAGGCCTTGTTTGTTTGGTATGTACTTGCCTCATATGTACATTTCATAAACTCAAGAAACTTTTCCATTCAAGTAGTGTCAGTTTCTAACAACACCATGAAGACTTTGACTACACAGAAATTGATCATGCATATAGTCAGAATTGAAATATGTTTGACTGACAACTCTAAATTTTTCCTTTTTTAATTTTAAAGTGGAGCATTGTTTCTATGACAAAAAAGTGTAGCCTTGCATTGTTTGTTTAGTAGTTTATGTTAATTATTCTTATGTTGTGTGCTTTCTTTGTTTTATATGTTTGGTATCCTTTTGCATTCTGCATATTTTGGGCTTGGTGAATTATTTTCTGTTTCTTTTGCATTTGCTGAAGAAAAGTTCACGTTTTTCTTTGTTTAGAAGAATGTGATTAATTTGTTTCACTTGCTTTTCTTTGCATCACTACATGTATTGTATTGATTCGTTTAGTTAATGAAACAAATTAAGATATTTGTGATTACAAGGACAGTTCTGATGCTTTTGTAGTACTCTTTCAGATTGTAGGTTGAATTAAATAAACATTGTTTACTTTGGTTATATAAATCCGCTGAAAATTTGAATCAGGTTGCATTTACAGTGACATTTCACCACTGAAGGATTGGTCACATAGGTATATACACCAAGAGGGTGTTTTGTTCAGTTGGTACCCTCAGCAGCTTCTAAAATAATGCCATTTTGATGTTTTTACAAATGATAAAAAAAATCTGGCAACTTGATTTTTATCTCAGGTGACATGGCCCATATTCTGGGCAACACGACTTTGGGTAAGATGACTTCCATGACTTGACCATAAACCACCCATGTATTTTGCAGATACATTGCAAGCCGCATTAAAAGCAAATTGAGATTTTTTCTGCCAACTCATGTGTCATTTCTTACTTCTCCCTACAAGTGGTGGCCTCTATAGTGCCTCCTTGGGTTGTGACCTTTGGGCCAGAACCCTGCAGAGGCAAAAAGGTTTACCAGACTTTAAAAAAGCTAAAAGGCTTAATAGAAACCTAGTAGAGGCAAAATTCCAGACTTGGGAATTCCAATTAAGCTTAAGAATATCAGACTTAGTGACAAACATTGGATGAACTGTTCAGTTGTAACCAAGAACTGAAAGAGTTAGACTGTTGATGCCTTAGAACAAAAACAAAACACCAGTTTAGATTAGTAAATTAATTAGAAGAATGATGTAGGATAGCTTATTAAGGGAAAGTAAATGATTAAACATGCACTCCAGCAGTTATGCTACAAGAGTGTTGGTCAGTCCACACTCTTATTGAAGGCACCAGCAAAGGTACTGATGCAAAAGAAGTGGCAAATAAATATTCTGCATAATCCTTAAATATGTTTACCATGACATATTTCTTACTTCTAGAATGACATTTCTCTATCCCACTGCAGGGATAGATCAAGGATCAGTCAACCTACAGTAATTGTAGGAAAATTCTTAAATTGCACATTGACACTCTTTGAATCTTGTTTCTTTAAACTAACAAATTTGTCTTGAATATTGGGGTTTGTGTTATTTCCTAATTTATGGTACACTTAAGATTTTTGGACAGACAATAAAATAAAACTCAAAGGTTTACTGATCTCAATAATAAATTCACAGATCAAGACTGCATTGACTACACTGCCAATCTTTGCAAACTTTTGATACATGAGTAAAGGGGGTAAGTATTTAAAAAAAAGTGTGGAACTTTCAGATGCACTCACTCACAATGCAAAACTTGTCCCTCCATTTATAACATAGAGAAAATGTCAGAACCCAAGAGATCCATTAAGATCATTGATCACTTCACATGCACTGCTACCAATGCCATATATTGCATAACTTATGGCAAAAAGTTGTACATTGGTGAAACAGGAAGATGACCAGGTGACCAATTCCAAGAATAACTTCACAACATAGAAAGAAATGTAAAGGACACATCTAAACCAGTGGCTAGACACTTAAATCTCCCCAATCATTCTAAGCAGTGCACTGCAGTTTGCAGCCTTTCCCTACATCTAGGCAGTTCAGAAAGCAGCAGACCTCTAGAACAAAAATTTATCTTTCAAATCAGCACCCTTTGTCCCCAAGGTATCAACCAGCTCTTATAGTTAAACTTATTTATTCTTGTTTTCTTGTTTTCTTGCCACAATATTCCCACCAATAGCATAGCTCCATTTTCTTCATATAAACACACGCAACCCACAATTCCTCCATTTGCTCCTACAAAGGTCTAACACTTGAAAAGTCAGCTTTAAAACTCTTTACATTATCAATTCAGCTGATAGTACCAAATAACCTTGTTAACCCTTTGATAAATCCAACTTATAAGCTGCATTTATGCTTATTAGTTTCCACAAAAATGTTGAGAAAATGTTTAGTATTTAGCCCATGTCTTTTAACTCAGGCATGATGTAAGTTCTGGAACAAAGCCTTATTGTTAAAACCATAAACTTATTTGGTCCAGTAACATCTGGTTCTGTTTTCTTTAAATTTTCATTGAAAAAAGTTTTCCTTTCTGTAAATAAGTGGAATAATCTAACTATACATAAGTTGTTAAAACAATCTAACTCAAAATTTATGTTGAAGATGATGACTGAGAGACACTGTTAACTTAATTCATTGCATTTGAGAGTCACATAGCAGTACCTGACTTAATGCATGTTGATTTTGAACAAATTGAGAGGCTTAAAATATGACTTATGAAAAGGTTTATTTAAAAAAAAAACTGTAGACTGATTTTGTATAAACTTCTCTTGACCATGAAACGTGAATTAAATCATCAACTCCAACTTGGTCCTCATCACTTTTGGCTAAAGAACAAATGCAAGTTAAATTTGTGCTGACCTGAGCCTTTTCATAGTCCTCTAACACTTTAGTGGCTTTTTCCTCCAGTGTCTTGAAATCTTCCTAAAAATGAAGGCAGACAGAGAACATAACATCAGAGGTATTACTAGTATCCAGTCAACTCGCCAGCGTACAAAATCGAGTAGAGACGTTGGCGAGTTGGTCCTCAATCCAATACAACTTGTTAGAAGTTAAACATACAGAAAAGTAAACTATCTTTAGTAAAAAAAACACTGGCAAACATCACCAATGACTATAACAGCTTAAGACGCGAACGAGTTATTGTGTGCAACAACACCGTAAAGACCCATCATGTCAATCGCTCAGATTTTTTAAAGAAAACTTGGCTTTCTAGACAAGATCTTTAGTAAAAAGCCATTCTTTTTATTTGCAACAAAGTTTATAAGGATCTCAAGGCGAATAAAGCGAAGTAAACATCACCAATGAATGGCTTTTTACTAAAGATCTTGTCTAGAAAGCCAAGTTTTCTTTAAAAAATCTGAGCAATTGACATGATGAGTCTTTACGGTGTTGTTGTCGCACAATAATATTTCGTTCGCGTCTTAAGCTGTTATAGTCATTGGTGATGTTTGTTATAATATTGTAATTTTCACGCCCTGTGTTGAATTTCATTTGTACGTGCTGCTAGACTCATTATATATTCAGTTTCGTTTGTACCTTCGAGGCACTTGATAGAGATTAAAATGTCTGTTCAGTAACCGCTTGAACGTGTGGATCGCTGTGTTATTACAATGTTCACCCATGTTCACCAATGTTTAAGCTTCTGTTTGATGTTCACCAATGTTCACCAGTGTTTTTTTACTAAATATCGTTTACTTTTCTGTATGTTTAACTTCTAATAAGTTGTATTGGATTGAGGACCAACTCGCCAACGTCTCTACTCGATTTTATACGTCGGCGAGTTGGACTGTCGGCAAGTTGACCGTAATTCGTATTACTTAATCAAACCCTTTTTTGATTTGAATTTGATTCTGTTTCATTTTCCATGGCACATGAAACAAGATAGAAAGAGTGTAAAATGAAGACAGAAGAAAGACGAAGTAGAAAGCAAAATAAGTTAAAACCTCAAGTGAAGTATCTAAATACAAAATCAATCAGCTGGTTAAGGTATACTTCTGTTTACAAAAACAAAGATTACCAAATAGAGTTTTAGCCATTTTTCCAATTAGAAATGACAAGGTTCAAAGCTTTTTCAGAGGCAATTTTCCTGGACCTTTCCAGGACTTAGATTGATTTTTCCATGACTCCAAAGGCTTACATTAACCCTTTAACTCCTGAGAGGCATTAGACTTCCCCTTAAAATATCGAGATGACTAGTGAGGATAAAAAATTCAATAAGTTTGAGTTAAAACCAGATTCAAGATTCTATAGAACTTTCCAGGAGGAAAATTTCATTAAAAAATTTCCAGACATTTCTTGGTTGGGTATGCACCCTGTAATAAGTTTTTTTAACGCCACTGGAGTAAACCTAAGAGAACTGTGTTTAAATATTTATGCAAGCATGTAGGTAAATACAGTTGTTCTTTAGAACTAATATTAAAAGAGCTGCAACAAAAGCCAAAATAAGGAAATCTAATCCATCAGAAGCTGCCTAAACTTAAGAAATCTTGTTTTGGGTCCTATCAAAGTGAGAAATATACCTCTAACTTCTGGATGTTGGCAGAGTTTTCTCCAATTTCTCTCTCGAGTGACTCAACTGTACCCTCAGCCTTTCTTGTGTTCCTATTTACATTCAATATTAGAAAAGAGATTAAAAGAAGACCACTGTTGTACCAGTTTCCATCCCATAGATATAGTATGACTTATGAATTTCTCTTTCAGTTTTCAAATTGATTTCTAATGAGTAAGTGCATTGAGCATTGAGACAGATTTGAGCAGGAGAATAGAAATTTTGAGTCTTGTAGGGCCCAGGCAATGAAATACTTCAATTGTATTATAGTCAAAAAGCCAATCACGTTGATTAAAATGATTAAACAAAAAAGAATGCTGATTTATTATTTTAAATCTACATGTGCCATTTAAGACTTGGAAACATTATTAAATGCAGCATTCCATTTAATAAACAGTTTGTTATCCTACTTTACATACCTGTGACAAGTCTTGATAGCAACATTTGCTTTGGTCATTTGTCCGACTACTTCATCTACAGCATTGGTCAATACATCCACCCTATCCTAATAAATGTTGGTATTCATATTTTTCAACTATTGAATTGAAGAATAACTCACAGACAAGTTTAAATTAAAATTTAATTGAGTTGAGTTAACATTCTCATAACTGGGAATTGTTATTATTGGGCAGAAACTAATCTAGGGTTGAAACTCCTACTAAGCTGGAAATGCAGGATGATCACCTGAATTCATTTCACTGGGTCTCTTTGGTTTTATCAACTAAATTGATAATGTAGATATGCCATGGTAAATAATTTCTAAGTTGATGTTTCAAGAGTTAGTCCTTCATCAGCAGTTATACAATGATGTTTCCACAATAATACTTTAGGGTGCTTTACAGCATTTCCACATTGCACCCCATAAAGACTCCAGCTTTTTAAGGCAAACAAAACATTTTTCTAAAAACATTAAACTTGGCTTCTCTGACATGATTACAATACAAAATGACAAATTGAAAGAGCACCTACAAGCCTTTTCAAAACCACTGAAAAGTGTTTTGGGCAATGGGCAGTGACAATAACATAGGTAGCAACGGTAAGTGATTTTGATGACAATACAAAATACAAATAATTCAATAAACTACTTGTACGTTTTCTTATTAAAAGGTTCCAAATTTCACTTGCGCATGGTTTCTGCAGTTATCCAAACTTTCATAGAACATCACATAAGCCCATATATAGCTTATTTGGTTCTTACTGTTATAATTCAGTTAACAGTGACAGTATAATGAGAGATTAACACAACCATTACTATACATCCCATTTGCTGTAAAATAGATCTATCCACAGTGATCAAAATGTCAGACATCTACTTATTGTTATTGTAGAGAGTATATCACAGACCTGTTGCATCTTGAGCTTTGAACCACCAATCTCCATAATTTGTTTGTGAAGTCTATAAAATACAATATCACAACAATAGATATTGGAGGTATAAAATGTGTTAACAAATGGTTGGTCCTGTTGGTCTCCTAAGGGGAAGCACTCCTTTGTGTTCTTTACAGATACTTTTACAATGCCTCTCTCTAGCACCAAAGACAAGCCAATATGCCAAATATGGATACCAAATGTAATGCAGTATCTATAGTATCCCATCAAGATTGACAAGCAATAATCCTAATTGCTAGAGGCTAAGAAACCCAGGATAAACATTTCTAACAAATATGGAACACCAGGATTGTGAGAATAAATCATTATCTGAACAGTCTGGCAAGATACTCACTTCTGTACTTCTGTTTCTATTCTAGTTGATGATGACACTGCTGTTCGCCATTCTTCAACAGATAAAGAAATAGCTGCAATCTAAGTATTCAACTGGCAAGCATTTTCCAGAACTACCTGTTAAAATATTCTCTGTGTAATAACCTTACCCGTACACAGGCTACTTTAATTTTGGTCTCAAGCATGATTAGCAGTAAAATTCAAAGACAAAAAAGAAAAGAAAACTGACTGAATCATGCAGTACAAGTACCTCTGTAATGTTTGTTAGACATTGAAAGCAAACCTTGAAAACAATGCCTGTGTATAAACCCTTTGACACCTGAGATTTTGCATGCATCATTCCCATCTTTCCTGAAGTTTGTCCCACTTAGGATCATGTTATGTGAGAGCTAAAATAACCATAATGTTGTCATAGAAAAATGCAAAAAGACAAAAAAAGGAAAAAGCATGATCATGAGCTAGAGGCTTTTCTTATAAAGCTTTATATTTGGCAAGATTAATTCCAACTTAAAAAACTGTTGCATACTGAAACTTTTTTCAAAGAGTCACCATACAGGTTGAAAAAAGAGAATTTTCACTCACCAAATTCTCTTTACTGCTTGCGAAACATTCCCACTTCCCACTTAGCAAGTGTTTGTCTCTTGCCAAAGCACATAGTCGAAGCTCAAGATCAAATGGACAGGGTTTGATTGTAATCTTTCGCCTTTGCATTCCAATTACCCCAAACATGCTGATGCCACGACTGGACATTACGACTAATTATGGACATGGTTACCCATTCCTAACATTTTTGTGCTTACATTATCATTTCCAAGTCATGTTAGCTAATACATAATTTAAATCTGATAAACACATTGTGAGTAATGTCATTTTTTGCCTTACATGAAGTAATTTTTAAAATTTTCTTTCAGCTTTGCATCACACACAGAAAGGTCAAAACAAGAACCCCAGGCTCAGTTATAGTTACTGCTAATTATATCTAATTTTCCAGGTAGGTAATAAAAATATGTTCTGCTAGCCTAATGTTCACACTTGTTTTGAATGTAAAACTCCAAAGTTTCCCACCCATTTGGGTGAAGGTTTGGATTGCTGGCCTTATTGAAATAGTTTTTGCACTTGTTGATGATGGTGGGCAATGGCATTTACAGTACACAAGGTAGAAATTTCAAGTGTGGCCTACCACTTAAGAAATCAAGTGAGCACAGTTAGCACAGTGAAGGTGGTTTACCACATCATCACACTACACAGTGAGATGAAAAGTGAAGCTCTGGATCTGTCAAACAACATATTAAGTGTCTCTATATCTTCTTTTCAAGACCTTGTGTTTTCTACTTTGGCCAAAAACTCATCAGTAGTTCTGTGATCAGACATAATTCTTTTCCTCTATTTCATCTTTAAAAGATAAACCCTTGAAGCAGCAATAACTGAATAGCGCTACAACTGGAAGAAAAAACTTTGAAGTTTTGCTGTCAAAACATTGACACCTGATAGGCCAACAGGATATACTTTCATCACATATGTGAAAGGGAAGATGCAATTGACAGTATACTGTGTTTGCATTCTGTGTTTGTTTGTTTCCTCTTCTTTTGGACACTTATTATGGCGATTGACTCAGGGTTTGAAATTTCAGTTTGAATGAAAAGCTTGAAAGCAAGTTTTACAAAGGGCTATGCTACATTGTAAGCACTGAAATGAGGTCTCTATCGATCGACCTGACACTGTCTTTCTACCCAACTTCTTGCATTGAACACAAACTTTCTTCCTACCGTCAATTTTAACTATAAAATGAAATCCTGCATTTCCTGACTGGAGAGACAGATTCTCAATCTTACGGCGCTTAGCAGAATGACCTACAGAGCCTGTTGTAGTAACCCCCCCTATCAATTGCTTTGCAAGATTCATCCTAAAATTTAGCTGTTTTACTTTACCTTGCCCATGCTCTCGCCTATGATGATTATACAGAATGAAAGAATTGCATATTGAAATATCAATTAAAAACCAAAACAAATACTTATACCATGTATAAGAGGAACGGCCTATTGAGTAATAGCTGCGTAATTGATCTGCAAAATCAACACCTCCCATGTGCTTATTGTAATGATCAACTACTGCTGGCTTAGAAATCTGCTGATTTTGTTTGTTTACTACTAAATCTATGGCTAAAGGACTACAGTTAGAGGAAATTATACTAACATCTCTCTTATCATGCCACCTAGTAAAAACAACATTTCCCTTTTGGTGAACTAGCTTCTGCCCTTGGCCCAATTTATCCTTTGCACATGGAGGTAAGTCCTTACGATTAGATCTTACAGTGGCGCAAGCATAAGTATCATTACTTGCTAAATGTTCTAATAACTTAACTGAGCTGAAAAAATTGTCAAAGTAGACATGATGGTTCTTATTCATGAAAGGCCTTATCATACTTGTCACCACATCGTACCCTAAGCCATAAATTCTTGGCCGCTGGTTTGGTTCCTTACCTAAGTACACATCAAAATTCAGCACATAGCCATTACTAGAATCAGCAGCCATCCAAACTTTAATACCATACTTAGTTGGCTTTGCCGGCATGTACTGCTTGAAAGATAACCTCCCTCGAAAACCAATCATACCCTCATCTACAGATATGTTCTTAGTGGGCAGGAAATTCCCACTACATTTAGCACGAACATAATCTAAAATGGTTCGAACTTTGAAAAGGCGATCGTAATCTCTAGTACCCCTAGCGGGCTCTTTGCTTGAATCATTAAAATGTAAATAGCAACTTAATTGTTCAAATCTATTCTTAGCCATGACCCTCTTAATTCCTGGATTTCCAAAAAATTCATCGGTTGACCAGTAAAGAGCATAGGCTGGGAGCTTATCAATACCCATAATTATGTTAATTCCAATGAATGCCTTCATTTCTGCTCGCGTTATGGCGCGAAAATTTTCCAATCGATTGTCAAGCTTTTGGTGCGCATAACGATTACTTTCCTCAACCATTTTATCCCACAAATCATCCGCGATAAAAGCTAAAAATATATCCAGTTCATTAGGATTATTTAAGACTAAATTAATGCCAGTAGCTGCCACGAACTCAGGAACTTGGAGATCGACGAGCTGGTCAGTCCAGCAAGCCTCTTCTTCTTCGGTATCTGTGTCATCTTCTTCAGTTTCTAGGTCATCTAAATCTAAGTCTGAATCATTATCTAAATTCAAACCTGCCCTATCTAATTCATTGAACCCATCGAAGCTTCCTTCATCCCCTGAGTCTTCAAAAAGTGCCGCGACTTCCGGATCAATTTCAGTCTCATTGGCCATTTATCAGTTGCATGCTTTTCAATTTCAAATCCCGGAAATCAACACAGCGATCAAACGGTGGCGCATGTAAACCCGGCTTTAATATGGATCGCCTGTTTCAAGCGTTCAGTTTGTAGAACTAAGCCCAACACGGTGGCAGACCGCCATGGTGGTGGTAGAGTAATGAAAAGGAGGAGGGATTGGGTCGAGTCGCGACCCATGCCTCCTCGGTACCATTGCACCGTTTGCTATTTCGCACCCTATTAATTGAATGCCTCGTACAGGCTATTTTCAGGAGAACCGAAATTTCTTCCTAGACTTCTATAGCTTGTTTTTTTCAAGCCTTTTCCCACTTTGTGCTAGTTTACACTCTCCAGAGCTACACAAGATATCTGTAATGACGGCAGGTCTAAGTTTATCGCAGGCAGCACTTAAGTGTCTGGAATTTTTGGAGTGGAGTTCTAAGGTTCTGTCATTTGTTTGATTGCCTTCGTCACTGTAGCCTACCGTCACTGAAACAAAGCGTGTGCGGTAAAAAGTTGAAATATTGCATGAGAAAATGAAAGCAAGATTCAGTATTCCTCCAAATCCTTCTTTCATATGCCCTACGTATTGGAATAGTTGAAAATTTAACCTTTTCTTCCTAACGATAGACACGCATTTAGAAGTCTGCCTTAGCTATTTATTTTAGACTTGTGCATGGACCGCTGTTTTGGAAATCATAGCTTAATGCCAGTCAAAATCTGCGCAAAGGAGGCCAAATGGTTAATTTATTTTCCTTCTAGGTCACTATGGCAAGAGACAACAAATATAACAGAGAGTGGGGTGAGGAGCGACTACGGGTGGGGTTGGGTTTGTCATGGGCGTTTGAAGTATGAAAACCTTAAGGTATGATCTTCTTTTTCATTTTTTCCTGTGAATAATTAAAGAACCAAGGCAGAGGGTAACTTTGTTTTTCACAGCATATGATATTTCAGAGCCGCGTGACGTTCTGTTAAAATGCTATTTTCAATTTGAGAGCAGCGGCTTTAAAACTGATCCTTTGTTAACATCAGTTGATTTTAAGACTGTCATGTATTGAGCCCAGTGTTCTCCCTTATTTTAAGCATGACAGGTAAAATGAATTTTCAAACCGGTAAAGCAATCCTTTTACCTGTTGAATTTCAAGAATTCCAAGAAATTTTAACCGGTAATAAGAGGTACTACAGGCGGTAAATGTTACCGGTTACCGCCTGAAAAGGAGAACAATGTGAGCCTAATTAACCCTTTCACTCCCACAAGTGATCAAGACAGAATTTCTCCTTACAATATCAAGCAGGCAAGTGATGAGAATAGAGAGGAATGTCAATCATGGGATGATAAGTTGATCCAATACCAAATTCTCTGAACCAACATCATAAGAATTGTATGGCAGATAGTAAGGAGAATTACTAATTAGATCTTGGGAGTGAAAGGGTTAAGGGACAAAGAAAGAGACCTGAAAGGTTTGCTCAGTGATAAGCAAATTGCTGAAGGTGTTTAACTGACCTTTCTCGTGAGTTGTAACTGAGTCTTCAAGCACTTTAAGCCTTGTTTCATCCGGAGTATTTTCAACCACTTTGTTTTTAAGATGAACTATTTGCTGCCTCAAATTCTCCTCCTGGTCATCCAAAGCCTAAGAAAAGAAACATTCAGTCAGTGATGTTAACATACCTAAATACGCACCAAAGCAATAAAAAATACAGTATTTTTTAAATGATTGTCCATGCTATTGCTTGTATTTAGACCACAGTTTACACTTCTAGACATTTTTGGTGCTTGGATATTGTTGGGGTCTGCAGCCTGCAAACCAATTTTAAACCCTTCTTTTTTACAATTTATATCATCTGTAACACATGTCGTAAGCAATCACAACTGGAAAAATTAAAACCTGCAGTATACCTTGATCTCCATATTATTTTTCTGTAATTGGTGTTCTGCAGCGGACAGCTCTTTCTTCAGCTCGTCTACTATTTCTTCTAGCCTCTTCTTTGCTTCTCTGTACTCCTACAGTTGTCATCAAAAATTATGTTAGAGACTGTGTGATAAAAGTAACTCATTGCAATAATCTATGCACTCAGACATGCATATCTTTCTATTAAGGGCTACCTCGATTTACACATATTCAACTGCTGAAACTAAAACTGCATAACAGTAGCTTGATTTTGAATATGAGTTTACCAATGCATTAAAAAAAGCATCTAGACAAAATGGTGTAGCCAGTAGTAAATGGTCTAACTAGAGGAAATGGTCCAACAGGTTTAAATGGCCTATCCCTTTTAATGGTCTAACCTGATAAAATGGACACGCTGGTGAAAATGATCTAACTATATAAAATGGTCAAACAGGTACAAATGGTCCAACCAAAGAAAATAGTCCAACTGGTAAAAATGATCCAGTCAGTGAAAATTATCAAAACAATAGTCCAACTTGTGAAAATAGTCCACTTAGTAAAGTGGGGTAACTAGATAAAATGGTCCAACTGGTTAAAATGCTCTAAATAGAAAAAATGGTCCAACCAGTTTAAATGGTCTAATTAGATAAAATAGGCCAACCTACTAAAATGGTCTAACCAGTTGAAATGGTCCAATGGGTTTAAAAATTAAGGCATTCATGATTATTTTGAGCAAAATCTTCCAAGATATTTGCCCACCAATTCAAGCAACATTTTGGTATGATAAGAGAAATTTGTGAAATTCTGTTGCAAGCAATAATGCTAACTGGTCAAATACCCATAGGTAATTTGTCTGGTGACCAGTCATTGTTCCAGAAAAGCAGATTATATTGTTCTTGTGGAGGATGGCTAGTCAAGAACTGGTTCAGGCTGTGGCAGATTGTTTTGACCTCACATGCAGATCGGAACTTTCTGCATGCCACCATCTTGTAAATTAGCTTTGTCAAGGTTTTTTTTACACTTACCACTAGGAACACTAGGATCAAGTTGTACCAAATGGAAAATCCAAGTGGAACAGAAAACTTCCAGAATTTCCTAATTTCTGGAAAACTGGACAACCTCAAAAGCTTAAATAGAATTTTCCAAATGAGTTTGCCAAAATTTTTTGTTCCTTTCAACAGAATTTCTGGAGATTTGGGTTTGAATGGAACTGCCCTTTGGGTAATAGACAATCATTAGTCTCCAAGAGACTGATCAAATCTAAGAATGGAGTTACATTTCATTAGGAGTTAAACTTTTAAAATTGCTACTTAGGAAAGGAAAATTGTTTACCTCAGCTGCCTTGGTCTCTTTCTCCAGAGTCTTTTCCATGGCTTTAAGCTGATTAGGATTTACATCAGAAACAATAGAAGACCCCATTCTTCCCTTGACAACTTTATTTCCACCACCACTCATTGTGCCTTAAGTGGACACAAAAATCTTATTGTAAAACAACTGGAAACAGTAACCTTAAACACTTCAGATATCAACAGGTCTGTGACTTGCAACTGCCAAAATACACTGTAGCAGTATTTTAATTAAATACTAATTTTTAATTAATTTTTTTCATTAATTTTTTATTTTTTGAAATAAATTTGCTTTAATTTGTGTAGGGCATGAAGTGAAAGCAATGCAAAGGAATGAATGATAATTATCTCAGAATTTTAAAGAGAAAAAAAAACTTAAACATCTTCCATTTCTTGAATTTTTTTTTGTCTTCAACATCATTGTTAATACAAAAAAAAGGTTTCTTTTCTTTCTCATTTAACAGAAAAGAAAGGGAAAAACCCACATCTTTTAGCACAAAAAAAAGCAAAAAAACAAAACAGAAACAACAGAGTTATAGAGACTCCCTTATTCTGTATTATGATGACTGAGAAGTAACATGCTTTATACCTGACTGGTCGATAATTTCACCTTGTAATGTCACTACACGCCATCTGTTGGATCCCTAATGGCATAAAATTTCTTTAGTCAACAATGCCTATATAGATGAACCATGTTTATCTGTCTTACCGAATGCCTCAAGCAGGATGCACTTAGTCAAATGTTGTTTGTGTAAGCTGGAACTTAAGGTGAACCACAAAACATGATAGTACACTACTGTATTTATTTGATTAATTTCTACCCTGGGTAAAATACAAAATTACCTAAAAATTAAGTCAGTTCTCACAGGAGAAAGTGTGGTTTTGTTTTCCCTTGAGCATTGATGTTTCCATAAACTCTGCCTTGCAAAGCATTGAGACTTTTAATGTATTCAAACTGTTTCTATCTAGACCACACATTTATTTCATATTAATCATATTAAATGATCACAAATAGTCTGTAAAGAATTACAGGAAATACCGTGGGCTGGTTATTTAGAACAGGTCTAACCCAGATCACAGTTTTGCAAAAGCAGTGGGCCTTATACATTCTCTACAAGAGGGTTGTCTTTATTAAATGAATTTTGTTCCACTGCTAACTTTCTGCTCTCCTGACACCATTCACATAAATAAATGTTCAGATAAAAGATTCCACTAAATACAACACATAATATAGAACATGGTTTTGTTAAACAATGGTTAAAGTTTGTTTAATAACCAGCCCTGTATTTTTACCTGAAAGGCTATGTTTGTAGCTTGCTTCAGATCATCAGCAACAAGGGTGTTTCTCAGAGCAAAGAAGAAAGCAGTGCGTATTTGGTCATTCTTCACTTGAACCAAGTCATATAAACGTGGGACATTCTGTGGCCTGTGACCAAACCAAAGTATATTTACCAGTTTTAATGTTTTTTCCCCCATGAAATTATGGCTTGTGGGGTACAAAAAATATTTGTATTTAAGGTTAGAAATGTCTGAAGAGTTGCACATCTGCCTACATTTTCCACATTATAATAGGTTTGGGCATTTCTGTTCTTTTAGGTTTGTGAGGGTGAAATGCAAAATGACTCAAGGAAAAAAGATCATTTTCAGTTCCCTGTGGGTCAATGATACATATACAGAATGATTTCTTCATCGGTGACTATGTCATGTTTAAACCTGTTACAGTTTTGGGTGGAAGAAATGCATGGGGAAGAGTTAAACCCCTCAGATATGGCTTGAGCTCCATATATATCAATTAATTATCAAACTGCACTAAGGAGGACAACCAAAAAGACTCTTCTAATGTTTTTTTCCAGTCAGAACAAGAAACTCAACTTATTCTTTTGTGAGAAAGCCATACCAGTGAGTGGGGGCAGACTGATTTTTTTGGACTGGCTTATTGCAACTTGTTTGGGTCATGTGATAATCAGCAATACTACACACTGAAACATTTAATAAGAGATATATCCATTTATTTATATGTATTTTTTTGAAATTCCAAAAAAGGTTTTTTCTCAAGTTTCCCTAAGGCACTGTCCTTTAAATCATCCATAACTTACGTTTTGATTTTATTAGATGCATCTTTCCTCCATTTCTCTACCTGTATTGTGAGAATGTCAAATTCAGCTAAATTAAACTTGGTGTCTGAAAAAAAACTGAAAGGGTACCTGTCATAACTGTCAGAGAAAAATTATTTTTGTCAGCAGAATCTCAAGTACAGACTCCTAAGCATAATCATAACGATGTAAAAGTTAAGGCAGAGTTTGTGAATAAATATTGGGGCCATCTCTAAATCAATCTAAAACCTTCAAAGTGAGGTTATTTTTCAACAAGTCACTGTGGATATGATTGGCCCTAAGTTTAATTTGTGATTTATGTTGAGATGAGTAAAACAGTCCTTGTAAGCATCAAAACAACATGAATTGTTCTCTTCTTATTACATATTTTGAACACAGTTATGTTATGAATCTACAAAGCAGGACTTCTTGAATTTCAAAGAGAATATATAATATTGCATGACTTTACAAAATGGTATGGCTTAGCATGAACATAGTTTACAGTAAGTCTCCAGACCTGACATAAGAGGCATCAGGTTACACAAACAATTCAAAAATTGAAACTGCTGTACCTTGTCAAGACCAATAAAAGTACCAGAACCTATATTGTTGTGCTTGAGGAAGGTAATACACTTCTGAGCAGTATCAATACTGTCACAAACAATGTTGTCTAATGCTCCACATGCTGTACTGATGGCTACATCATATTTATCATCAATTGCACCAAGATCTCCCTATAAAAAATAACAGTAACTGCAGTTGTCAAGAAAATGCTTATAACTATCACAGTATTTCTTTAAAATTTGATTAATCATGTACTGGTAATCAATAAAATAGAATATAAAATAGGGATAGTAATTACTGTAGTTTCTCGGTTATAAGGCACACTTGGTTATAAGACGCACCTCAAACTTAGCAACTTATTCAAGCCAAGTTCCCAAACTGAAAATTATGTGATAATACTTGGCTATTAGATGCACCAAAAGGCTGAGAGTTAACAAAAAGAAGTGATGGAACTGAGAACAATTATCCTTACACAACTAGCATGCAAACTCTTTTGTTAACGTAAACAAAAGTGAAAAAGTCACACATTTAATGATCTACAGAAAAACCAAGGCTAAAATTTCACACCTGTAATGAGAAACAAAACACATACTCGTTTATTTTAGCCTTCCTAGTTAGGAAACATGCTTCTATTTACTAAAATTAAATAATAAATATTCAATGATCCGATTTCATTCTATTAAGATCAACCAACTGATTTTTCTTGAAAAACTGTGTGCCTTATAACTGAGAAACTACAGTATATATCATAAAGAACAAAAGTAATCACTTGTACTCTCTTAAGTACCCCTACTATGTTCACCAATATTTAAATTTTCCCTACAGGAGTTATGAATTAAACAATCCAAGTCCTAATTAAATTGTTCATTTGCTCAAGGCAGCCATAAGAACTTGTATTTGAAATTCAAAGAATTGAATAATTATAATTCAGACAGACAAAATGTAATAAAGATCCCTTTCATTTCAGATTTGATATTGATTAACGCAGCAGACAGCAATCAACGTAAACTTCCTAGTTGGATCACTTACCAGACGACCCAGAATTCCTGGAATCTTTCCGGATGCTTTTTGCTGCATGAGAGCCTCCAACACTTGTCCTCTGTTGCAGAGAAGAAGAAATACCTCAATCATACAGTAAACATCCTTAACCATGAATCCCCTTCCTTAACAAGAACTCCAGTGGGTCAGATCTAATGGAATCAGTGCAAAGATCCAAGAAAACAATGTTTCATGTTCACAGAGAGGGAGCTAGACTGTGAGTAAAACATTTTCTCTATAAAAGTAATTTCTTTTATTCATGGATTTTATTATAAAACAATCACCTGCTATGTGAAGCTTGCAAGGAACTTCTTGCTTCCTCAACTTTGGTTCTTATGCTACGAAGCTAAAACATATGGTAATTTTAGCTTTTTGATTTTACAAAGGCTTTTTACGTTCAAATTCCTTAGCTCTATCAGATGACTCTAGCTTTCCTTCTATGTAGAAAACAGGGCAAACAGAAATCCAATAATGCAAATACTCTACAATAAAAACCACCAATAATTTGAATAAACATAACTAGAAGATCTTTACATCAAAGACAATGAATTACCAAACTAAAAGCTTTCCTAAAAAAAATTATTTTAAAACAATTGTTGTTTTTTTTTTTAATGGCAAGGCTGCTACAGGTTCTAACAGTGGGTTCTATAAGAAAAGAGCAGCATACATGTGCAAAGGCACAATCCCAAGTGTAGTGCAGTTGACTCTTTAAACAAACAGAAGACGTTGTGTTTATGAGTAAAGAGAATAATGAGGCTGGTTTAAGAGACGAAAGATCTATTATATAGGTGGACTAAGATTGTTGAACCACTTGATAACAAAAAGAAACTATTTCAATGGAACTCTTGTCTTAAATGGCCATTGCAAATGAGAGCTGGTGTGATATTATAATTAACCCTATTGCCAGTGTACTCATTACTATGATATTATAATTATTGCTATTATAGTTTAATTGTAACCATTACAATTCTCTCAAATGTGATTAGTGCATTAGCTGCTTTATTTTTCACTAATTATTCTGTACAGTTGAAATCAGACAGTGTAATCAGATGGTTGGCTGTAATTAAACTGTAATTGGACAGTTGAAGCAGTCAATCACAGAATTAATCACAATAACCATAGCAACAACCATTTATCCTAAAACAAAACTGAGGAACTTCCAAATGGAGATACTTTTTTTAACTTTAGATAATGTCTCTACCGGATATATTTGACCCAAATGCATTTATTCTTTCAGAAATTTATGGTTATGATTAATTGGTAACAGGAATTCTTGTTGTTCAATTCTGTCCATAATCATACTTGTGATTGACAAATTGGACTCCCCCTTGGGCTCATTTGAATTTGTTATTACTCCTATGATTACAGACTGAATGGACCCCACTTGGTCCATTACTTATCATTATTATATACTCAACAAAATATCGCATTTCTGATTGGTCAATGATGAATGCATAAATAGGTTATAGAGTGCAATAGAGGTTATAGAGTGCAATATGGAGAAGTTGCCATGGAAACACCAGGGAAGCGCCAAATTTGAACACCAAATTATAAAAAAATCGAGAATATAATAAATAAAAAATTGTATGAACCTGCTCGTGCATTTTGTGATTTATGGTCACTCGTGATGTTTTGAAAGTTCTCAAATTGCACTCGCCTACGGCTCGTGCAATTTTGAGAACTTTCAAAACATCGCACGTGCCCATAAATCACGAAATGCACTTGCGTTCATACGATTTCCTATACTTATCACTGTCATTTTCATTATCCACATTATAATTACATGACCACTAACCTCATCAGATGCTTTCTTTTCTCCTGTAATAGCCTTTGCCAAATCTGCTTCTGCTATTTTTAGCCTTTCCCTCAATTCTGCAATTTCATCTTGCAGAGATTGTATTTCTCTGTGGTCACAGACAAAATGAAATATGTTTTCAGTTTTTGCTATCTTGTGCATCATTTGAGTACTAGAACAATATACAGTTCCACCACAGGTAATGCATCCCACAAGGTGAAATAAAATTCAGATCTCCACATTGTGGGTTTGGCTTGTATGTATTGGTAATTATTACTTCCATAAGTGATCAAGACATCAATGTTTTCCTCATGTTTTGAATAAAATATCAAGTAGACTTGCGATGACTTCATAAGAATTGTATGGCAGACAGTAAGGAGAATTACTGGCCAAAAATGGCATATATTACAAATATTTAGAGCTTTTACCCCTTTCGTTGTGATCTGGTCTCTACAGCATTGTTTAAATTATCTGTGGCTTCTTTGACCTGGTCCATGGCAGTCTCATATTGATTCTTGTAAATTTCTAGCTCACCCCTGGCCACATCCATCTATAGTTACAGTAATAAATCAAAACTATGGAAAACAGAATGAAGCCTTGTTTTATGCACCAATTCTTTTTTTGACCAATACTAAAACAACTTTTGTTTGTTCCCTTGAAAAAATGATAATGAAGAAAACATGATTATAATATTTCTAGAAAATACCATTCAAACACTATAGCCACTTAAAATACTCCTCACTGGCCAAAATGTCTTATTGTGGAATTGCTATGAGTCAATTTAAGTTAAACCTTCAAAAATTCTTATTGAAAGCACTGCACATGGCTGCTTCCTTGGTCTCCAGTTGGATAAAATTGGGCTGAGTTGAGAATGTCTTAACTAATCCTTAAGGGAGAGATGGGAGCCCATATTCTATTTTATAAATCAATGACACATTTCAATCCAAAGGAAATAAAACAGTTCTCTTCAAACCTTTGACTTAGCTTCATTAACAATTTTGTTTAAGTCCAGCAACTTTGTTTCTTTTGCCTACAAAATAAAACAAAAAATCCTAATTTCAAAAGGCACAGAGCTGTCTACCAAAATACCCAGTGCAGCAATGTCCTTCTTAAAAGCTGAAAAAACCATTGCTATCACCAAGTTTATGGATAGGAAAAAAGAAACATAATACAAAGGAGACAGGTTATTGTCTGAATGGTTTTTAAGTAATTATCTAGGTAAGAATGGTCACAATCAATCAACAATGGTCTAGTTTTATTTCATAAGTCCAACAAAGTACAGAGAACAAAAGACTGTCCAGCTGACACCACCATTAAGATTACCACATCATGAGGCTTGGCAATCGCACTCATCTCATTCACTAAAAAAATCCACACCCAAGGACCAACACAGCTAATACTGGGAAATGGACTAGAAATCACATATGCTTTGGCCCAAATTGTTTATACACACAATGTTGAGTGCATGCAATAAATGGGAAACCAATGGAGATATTTTTCTAAGGTAAATCATGAAACTTCTCTAAAGAATCACAACGCTATCATTTTTGGGAAAGCTGGAACTCATGATTCAAACTTGTTCAGGCAAGCCTTTAGAGGTGATTGAAACTGGTAATAAACTGCCAGAAGAAAATGTTATTTTGTTGTTAAGAACACTTTTTCAGAAAACATTGGAAGACCTTACAAAAGAGTAAAGGCATATTCAAGTGTCAAAAACAAAAGAACCATAACAACAAATGGTAATTGGTAATTTTAATGAATTACGGTCAAGTTGCCGATGGTTCAACTTGCCAACGCCTACTTGCTGATGCATAAAATCGAGTAGAGATGTGGGCAAGTTGGTCTTCAATCCAGTACAACTTATTAGAAGTTAAACACATACAGAAAAGTAAAAGATATTTAGTGAAAAAACAATTCTGTTTTCTTCCAACAAAGTTTTTAAGGATCTCATGGCAAATAAAGCAAGGTAAACATTGCCAATGAATATAAAAGCTTCAGATGCGAACGAGATAACTTGTGAGTTGGCGTTGGTGAATTGAACCGACAGTGACTTTACTGAATACCATTTTACTGACCAAATTCATTTATAGAGATGGTCTGAAATTCAAAACAGATTGCGCATAAAGCAGTCAGAATGGCGTTATTTTATATATCTGCTAAAAAGGGCATGTAATTGGTGGAAGATTCCATTTTCACTTGGTAATCTACCTCTGGTTAAGTACTAAGTGAAGCATGACAATGGATTGGAAGTATTCTTTGTGGTGCACAGGTGCGTCAGGTACTCAGAGCAAGTGGTTTGTGGTTAAATTTCAAATAATCAGAAATAAAAGAGTCAACTAAAACAAATGTGGACCATTCATGTTCATGGGACTATCACATGACGAGGAATGCACAAAAAAGGCCTATGCAGAGGAAGATGATATAGGAGACCAATGAACATCACAATTGACACTTATATGGTTATGCGGGTTATTATAACAGCATTTCACATCTTTTCTTTACTGCACACATAGGCTTGAACTTATTGGTCCTTATTAACTTATTGGTAAAAGGCAGATGATAAATTTTCAAACAAAGTTTCTTGAGTTTCTCACCTCCTTTTCTGTTTGAAGGCCCTCTGTTTCACTCTTTAAGCCTGCAAGAAAACAAGAATACACTGAAATAATAGCATCCAAATAGCAATCATAATTATACAATTTTCAAAAGCTACTGAGAACCATCATTAAAAATGAATGGCTCTGAATTGTACATCAAGGTCTGGTATTCAGTATAGTAACCATAATGATTATAAGTTTTATTGATATAGTGAAAACCTGTAAGGAACTAAAAACAAGTTTGTGATAGATTCAACAAACCTTTAATTAACAATAGCAAAGCAAAGAAAACCCATGTTCATGCGATTGCTGTAGGTTCAGTGTCAATTCCAGGTAATACAACAAAAAAGTATTCAGTTGCACGGCCAATTATCAATTGCTACAAAACTAGCAAATTGAAGTTGACTAGACATATATTTGTAGTAAACTTCTTAAGAAATAAAACTGCATCACATTTGATAAAAGTTACTGACCTGCCATCACTTCTGCAAGTTTCTCTTCTTCCAATTTTCTTTTCAACTTCCAAAATGAAAAAAATAGAAATTTGAATTTACACCAACAAGTTAAACTGAGAAAGAGCATTAAAAAAAAAAGGTCCAATGTACATGGTACAGTAGCAATTGATAGATACTTTACTCCAATGTTAAATTACCAAATGAGTAGTAAATGTACATGTATGTACATACCTCAAGATCGTCTTTTTTCTTTTGCAATTGCTGCAACTCTTTTGCATTCTCATCAGGTATACTCTTAAATTCTTCCAACTGTATACAAAACACACAGCCTTATGTTTAACAACAACTGATTAAATACTTGTAGAAATTTTAGAGATAGTCTACTGAAATGAAGACTTGCAGCAAATGCCCAAACAAGGTTGTTGTTTGTCTCTGACAAAAAAGCTGAACTAAAATTCTGCCAACTTAGCCTTCTCTCCTTCAAGAAAAAAACTGTTTATGTCATTGCTTTGTTCCAGATGAATGGTTTACTTAATGTATACAGGGTTTTCTTTAAGGTTTTAAGTAGCTGGAGCTACTTAAGGTAAACAGTTTTGGGTCTCGAAATCCAATGTGGCGGACAAAACTTCATATTGTTCATACTTTCCTTTTAAGGTCTTCCCCTCTTTCCCGGGATTTTTTTTTCTCCTTTGTTTCAGGGGTTTGTGCATTTTACTTCCACTGGACTTCTGGCCTCAGTGTGATGGGTGCTATAGTGGGGGGCTGAGCATATGAGCGCAGGGAGCCTCATGGCTGGGTTGCGGGTTTGTAGGCCTGTGGGTGTTCTTCTGCCTTGGGGTGTAATTGCGGTTGCAGCCCCCTGGCCCATGGGCACCCAACCTCCACTTGTGATGCAGGTATTAACCAATGTTACACCAATGAAATAGCCAACTGCATTGTTCATGACTGAGAAGGATGAACATGACAAGCATTTACACAGTGTGCTGGAGTGACTTGCTGATGAGTAGCTGACTGTCAATGCATACAAGTGCACATTCAGGATGAGTGTTTATGGGACTGTTGCTCAGTAAGAATGGAATTGGGCCAACTGAGGAGAAAGTCAAAGCTGTTGTGGAAGCAAATCAGCCACAGACACTATCCCAAGTTTATGGGATTCTGGGATTTTTCACCCGGTTATTCCCAGATTTTTACAAGGCTGCTGACCCTGTAAGGAAACTAGCAAGGAAAGGAGAGCCATTATTTGTGGTGAAAAGCAGAAGTTATTTGAAAATTTAAAAGTCAAGTTGCAAGTGCACCAGTATCAGCACACTTTGACAAGGACACATTCACCCTAGTTATTGCTAATGTCAGTCCAGTAGGTCTATAAGCAGTTCTGGTGAAGGGAACAATGGAGAGAGTTGTGCTCTTTGCATTGCCAGTCAAAGAAAAGCAGAGGGCCATTACAGCCAAACTGAAAAGGAAGCAGTGGCTTGGCATGTGAATGCTTTCACCTTTACTTGTATGGAATCCCAAAGTTTGATGTAGAAGTAGACCATGAAGCACTCAAAGTCACATATTCAAGGAAGCCCTCAGCCACAATAGCACATCAGGTTTTCTATCTTCAATCCTAAAACTATCAAGAAAGAATAAAGTGGATACCTTCTCCCACCTGACAAAGATACCTCAGTGAAAAATGATGGATATGTACATGTGGTAGTCTTGCACACTGTTCCAACTGCATTGAGGATCATAGAGATTGAATGGGTTTTGGCTCAAGATCCACAGTTGCAAGTAGTCAAAAAATGCCCAATCAAAGGAAACTGTAACTATGCTCCTCAGCCATAATTACCTATGTGCAATGAGTTAACTTTCATTGGTCATAATATTTTTACAAGGAAAATTGAATTGTACCCCAACTTCTTTGTAAGAGAGTTGTCAGCTTGGCATGCAAAGAACACCAAGGAGTCATAAAGACAAAAGAAAGACTGAGAACAAAAGTCTGGTGGCCTGGACAGTGTTATGGATGCCAGCTGGTCACAAAGAATATTCCACCACCATAAGTGAAACCAACAATGTTGCCTCACCAACCATGAGAAGAAGCTGTCTATCTAATGGGCCCATTACAGTCCTGAGAATACCACTTTGTTCTTGTTGACTATAAGAGCTGGTGGATGGAAATCAATGTCATCAAAACCTCCAAACAAACCATTATTCATTGCCTGGTTGTCCAGTTTGAAAGATATGAACTACCCAGAGGTCTGTGGACCAACAATGAGTCTAACCTTGTTTCCAAGGAGATAGAAGATTGTTGAAAAGGGGATTGAGCGCTGTAACATAACACCTCTATGGCCAAGAGCAAATGGTGACATAAAAGGCAAAACAGTTCTTTGCTGAAATCACTGAGGGCAGCTCACAGCAAAAGGAAATAAAATACCACTAAAATGCTTGAGCTCTCTGATGTAGAGAATAAGGAAATAAAAATGAGTAATCAAAGAGTCCATGGTCAAAATAACCAGAGAATAATTCTCTGGTTATTAGTCTAACAGACTTTGTTGATGATACATTTTTGGCTAGAGACTGAAACGTAACAGACACAGTTACTTGAGAGACAGCTCTGCCAGAGAAGAAGAAGAAGAAGAAGAAGAAAAAAAAAACAAGTTGTCAGCTTTCTATAAGAAGGAAGTGTATGAGGTAATGCTGCACTTTGGGGTCAAGTGGTTTTAAGTTTAGCACAGGGCACCCAGTACAAGCAAAACCTTTAATTAACACATGAAGCCATTTCATGTACCAGTTCATGAAGACCAGAAAACAACACCACAGGACACTGGCTGCACCTAAAACTACTGTGGTAACTCCTAAAGAAGAGAATCCTGTCCCAGCAGCAGAAGTTCCACCAGAGGTTGTGTCCACTACTGTACCAATAGCTGAGAAGCCATTAAGGAGATCTAGCAGGATTATCAACTGTCCAAAGGTGCAAAGCTTTCAAGCCAGAAAGGAAGGGATGTAGTAAATCAGGACAGTGGTCTCAGAAACATGCGGGAACTCTGAGAGCAAGAGGGTAAGTTATGTATCTTGTGTGTGTTACATTAAATATGTTGCTTTTAAGCCTTTGTGGTATACTTGTGTGGTGTACAAATCTACCAGAGTCCAGTACAATAGCTGTTTGGCCATTGCATCTCCTGCCTCTTGGTAAGGAGTGAATAACTTTCATTTATACACCATGGTGAAAAAGACAGGTTGCTGAAAACACCAAGATTTTTGATTGAGTATATACTAAGTATTAATAACCACAAGCTTTACCTTCTTTTTTTCTTTCTCAAGATTTTTCTGCATCTTCTTTTGATTTTGTTTTGCATGTTTGTATTCCTGAAGATGGCAATCACAAAAAAAGTGTTAACATGTGACTCAAAGCAAATGGATGACTACATCACATTTTCAAAATGATCAAATGCTAAAGTACTCACTTCCCGCAGTTTTAAGTCATCTCTGTCATAAGCTGAAAAGTTCTTCTTGGTATCCTCAGCCACCTTAAAAAGTTCTTCATATTTCCTAAAAAAGTTGTAGAAACAAGTAAATAACTTCCCCCTATTTATAATAACTTCTGCTGATTCCTCAACAATTTAAAGCACTGTGAAAAAAAGTTTACCCTTTTTTTTCCCAAAAAGAGAGAGCTTATTGAAGGGTTCATACCCTTTCTCAGAAAAAAATTTCAAGGACTTTCCAGAACTCAGATTGATTTTTCCAGGACTCAAAACTTCACCTTAAAGTCTTTCATTCCCAAGATTTCAAAATCAATTCTCCTCACAGTCTAAACACATTTCTTATAATATAAATTCTGAAAACTCTGTTGCTTGAGTTAAGCCAAAAAATAAACTTCCAGGACTTTCTAGGTTTTCCAGGGCCCATACAAACTCTGTTGTTTTTATCACAATTTATTATTTATACCCTTGCATTAGCGTCAAAATTGACAGGAAATTCCAGTATATACATAGATAAATGTACACCTGTTTTCATAAATTTTGCAAGTTATACATATTTTCTTATCTTGTGAAAATGTGTCTCTTTGTGATACAAAAAAAGGCATAAATATTTTATATACGTTTTAAAATTTGCTATGTTGTCTATATACACAGGTGTATAATGTTAAAAAACATTGCAAATTTGAAAATGTGTATTAAATATATACCTTTTATTTTCTCATCAAAAATAGACACTTTCTGACAAAAAACAAGACATATTTAATATATATTTTCATCAGTGCAACATTTTTGAAAACAGGTATATTTATACATTATGTTTTCATATAGGGTAAGGATTATGTATAAACTTGTCTTACTTTGTTGCCTTCTTGTATTCCTTGATCTGTGCTTTCTTCTTATCTACAGCATTAAACATTTTACAAGATTAATTTCCCAGTCTCTTTTATTTCTTCATGTTTACAATGTTACATTGTTTATGCCATTAACATTTTAACAGCAATTACAAATACTAACATTACCTCTGGAATTAAGATATTGTTTTCTAACAGTATGTAACAATATGTTCCATTACACTATAAGGCATTCTTCATTACAATCTACAACAAATTTCAATACCTGTTTTCCTTTAAAAGAAATCAGTGGCAACAAAGCAAACAGAAGAAAAAACAAACAAAACAAACAAACACTGGCAAGAAAAAAAAAAATTGGAAAAATCCCATTCTTTACCCAGTCTCCTTGCAGAAGATGAATGGTTTGGTATAAGGGTTTGACAATAGCTTGAGTTTGATAATTTGGTCATTTCTTGTCCTTTTATACCTTGTTAGAAGTTTGCATAATCCAGCTGATTCTGCAGTCAGCATTTTAATTACTACCAATACATGATTTTTGTCAGTTGGAAAATGTTTATTCAAAGGGTTCATCTTGCCTGTAAAAGCATCAAGTTCTTTCTTTAATTCATCAAATCCTTGTTTGATTTCATCTCTCTTCTCTATAGCTTTCTCTTCATTTAAAATGCATTCGTATCTAAGGATAAATACAAAAACACAAAAAATTAATTGTATTATATCAACTGTAACAAAGTGTTATTTTCTTGGATTTCACTCAATTAATACAAATATGCACCCATAAATAAATTGAAACATCATGCTCTGAAACATCTGTTCAGTTCTTTACTCATTTTCAGATACCATTGTTTCTTAAATGAAATAGTGCAAGAATATATCTTAAAGAATTGTTTTATTAAAAGACAATCAAGATGTCTCATGATTCTTTATAAATCAATAAAATCATTTCATAAGTATAAATTTTGCAACATGATATTGTAACATTTCAAAACACTGCTACATTGTTGTTAGAAGTACATGTAGTTCTTACAGAAAAGAGAAACCTTACAAAAAACTAAATGAAAAATTTTCATTACTCATCATCCTCAATGGTTGTTTTGAACAGCAACCTAGCTGATGTGTTGTCATGAAAATTTTTGTTACACTGTTCAAACAATAATTTTTTTGGTGATGTTCAAGTCAAGTCAAAAGATTACAAGGCCATCCAAATCCAGTTTGAGACCAGATTGACAGTGAATTTCTTAAATTTTGAAGATAACCTTTACTGAAATACAAAAAGCCTTACACATTTCCTCTTGTTGACTGTTAATATGAAACAGAGCAAAACTTAAAATCAAACATGCTAAAGGCTCTACTATAATTAGAATGGGCATTATTGGTACAGCATGTGTAATACAGAATAAATATTTTGTCACCATAGGAGCTGATATGGGATTTTGATGTTGGAACTTCAACCGTATTTAAACTTCATACAAACATTGTATGAATCACATACATGTATCTTTGGAATAACACGTTCCTTTGTTTTGTAATGGAGTTTTCCATATTAAGGTATTCTAGTGCTTCATTCTTGGATCCCTCTAACTCATCTTTCTCTTTTTCTACAGCTTTGACTCTGTTGAGCTAAAGACATAGTACAGTTACAATAGGTAATTTAATATTACTCTCAATTACAATAATTAGAAATAGCAAAGTTTACACTTATCAAATATTTGTGGCTAATATAAAAAATATCAATAATGCACTTACCACCACAACACCATCTCATGTTAAAAATAAGTGCAGAAATAATTTTCCAAAGAGCTTTATGTCCTATACATGTACATGTGTAACCTATTCCTCAGGATCCTGAGTCAAACTACCTTTTTATGAAAACAGAGTCTCATAGGAAAGTGAGTCTAAAGCAGCAACACCCCCCCCTCCCCCACCCACACAAAGAAATAAGTCATTGCACAGTATCAAACTAAAAGTATCATTTTTTTCCAAATTATTTCCAACAAAATCTAAACAGACACTATGTTGGACAGTTTTTCACCATATTGTAACTAAAAGATATATACTGTATAACCCTGAGTGTGAATTGTATCTAATAAATAATAATGATTTTAAAGGCTTATACTATTTTGCAAAACGAAACGAAACCAGGTGAGATAGAACAATACTAAAGGAATAATTCAGATATATTTTCTAATAAGGTAGAAATAACTTTCTCAAGAATTTTGGAGTAATCATTCATTAACAAGAAGGATTTTTATATATTTCGTAAAGTAGTAATTTAAGAAGAGTTACTATTTTGTGAAATGGACTATTTTCACCCTGTAGTGACAACTTGACCTCTTTCATGTCACAAAAATACATTAGGACATTACAAATTTATATATCACTAAAGGTTTTGGCCTCTTCTTATTTCTTAAACCATATTAAACATATTTTGCAAAATGGTAATTTTAGGAGAGTTACTATTTTCTCCCTTTAATAACAATGTCTTTCTTTTTGGGTCACAAAAATATGCTTAAACATTTTATTTTATAAAATAATTCAAATAGTACGTGCACTCTGATTGGCTATAAAACCATTTTACATGAGGGTGTTTAAACACGGTTTTCGTTCCTCTTTCATTAGTTATTTTGTAAAAGAAATGTAAAATGGTTTCCATGTTTACATAGCCTGATGTAAACACTTGGGAGGTTGGGAGAACACTCGATAAGCTGGAAACCACTCCGCTTCGCATCATGGTTTCCTACGCTTATCTTGTGTTCTCCCAACCTCCCACGTGTTTACATCAGGCTATGAAAACATGGAAACCATTTCTTCAATAGTATATTCTCCAAGATCTTTTTGGGTCACAAAAATATGCTTAAACATTTTATTACAGTATATTCTTGAAGATCTTGGTCACCTCTTTCACTATCCATATAAAATTAATTTCGCAAAGTAATAATGTCAGAAAAATTACTATTTTGCGGAATAGACTATTTTCACTCAGCGGTAACAAAGTTACCATTCTCGAGTCATACTGTACCATAGGTTTTTGGTAGGTTTTAATTTAACGCACTATCAAATTCCAAAAGCCTGGTTTAGTTTTGTTTCATTTTGCAAAATAGTACAAGCTGATTTTAAAGAAAAAGATTTGTAATAATAGTACATGTAATAATACAAATTATTATTATTGTGATTATCATTATCATCAAAAATTATTTTGCCTTGTTTATTCTACCTTTTCTCCTCTAGCTTCATTTAATCTTTCCACCTCATTGGCTAGTTGTTCTATTGGCTCCTTGAAACGACTTGATCCTATGATGTCTTCTAAGTACTCAAGCATTCCTTCTTCATGCTCTGACTGTGCTTTTGGCTTCATCATGGAAATTTGTTCAACTTCTCCCTGATGAAATAATTATATAATCACACTAACAAACAAATAAAGGAAAACTGTTTTTAAGCCACTAAAAGCAGAAGTTGAAATATTGATGTCTCTCCCCTTTTTTCTTTGTTAACATGTATTTAGATACATGTATTTCCATGGAAAAAAGGCCTGAGTGTTAACATAACATACTGTGCTTTCAACCCAATAGAGATTTACTTAGTGGATAGTGTTAGCCACCCTTTGAAGAACTAGGGCCAGTAGTGTAACTAATGAAGCCTTTGGGTAGTTTGGTTCTGCAAGGAAAACTTTTGAATGAAGGAAAAAAGAAAGAAAGAAACAAACAATGTGTCAAACCAAGCGCTTGAAATACAAAAGGTCCTTAAGTAATCAAGTTATGTGTACTAAAGGTAACTGGTGACAGTCAGTATATCAACCAAGGAGTGATAACCAGTAATGTTAATTCGCTCTTTGTCGGTTGGTAGGCAATCAGAAATTAACCAATAGTCAACCAAAAGTCAAAGTTGGCCAGCATTTTACCCACTGCAGACTGCCTATCACCCAATTATTAACTGATACAATTATTAAAGAGGAACCCTTTACACCCAAACATCAGTAAGCATATTCTTTATACTATTTTCAACACATTTCCTAAGGTGCTAATGAGAAGAACTTAATTAACAATCCAGAGCTTTTGTAGTTGGCCATAATTTCCTTTATTCTTGTGACCTTAATGTATGATTAATGGGTGGGACAAATTAGATGCAAGTCAAACTTAGGGGACATAGGGTCAAATTTACTTATAATAGTAGAAAAGGGGGAATTTTGGCACATTTTGAAAACCACCATGATTTTTAAGGCAACTCATTAAATCTAACCTTGATTTCAAAACAAATTTCTTGCCCATTTTGGAGACAACCTTGACTTCAAGGCAACATGAATTTTTCACAGGTGACAAATATTCTACTGTCTCATTCATGAATTCTGAAGGGGGGGTGTGAATATTATCATCTTGAATGGTTCTCCTGAACGATTCTCTTGAATGATTTTCTTGTTGCACCATTTGCGCGAGGCTTTGCAAATATCAATGTTGTATCTTCTTTCAAAGAAGTCTTTGTGTGCCTTGATTTGTTCTTCTGTCAAAATTGTGTCTTTGTAAATGAGAAGTTATCTCATTAATAGGTCATGCTTTCAAGCTCTCTGTTGATGATGCTGAGCTGAGCATCTGAGAGGATGAAGATGTAACACTTAACATTCCCTGAGCCTGACGCTTTCCTGTCAATTGCTAACTGAATTCCTTCTTCCCTATTCACCAATCTCAATCCACTTCCATGAAGATCATTGTCCCTCATACTCCTGAGATGGATGGAAAGAGTGAACTGTCTCCTGCATAAAAGTCGTATGCATTAATTATGCTGTTTTCCTTTCCAAATCTTCTGAAGACCTCTACCCACATATCTCTTGTCTCTATTCCTTGACTGTAAACCTTATTTGGGATTCCATTGACAATCACCTCCACTTCAGTGATGTTGGAATTAAATGTCTTCTCACTGTCTCTTGCACCAGCAACATAATTTTTTGAAAATAAAAATGGAAAACAAAAAAGGTTCCAGAATTATAAGAGCTGGGGCTAAACCACCAGGGGTCAAAAGAGATTTAATATTGAGAAAACAGGATTTGATTGGGTTGATATCTAATATTCTTGACCATCCAGTTCCAAATATTGATGCACCAGTTCTAATGCCAACAAGATATGTCAGGCCTTGAGTTGATGAATCTGCCCAGGCCTCGAGTTATGAATCTGCCTATAAGACTGAAGAAGCACCAGGTAACCTTTGGTCAGGGCCCGTAGGGGCTAACCTTTGATAGGGCCTTGTAAAGGCTCAACAGTTGACTTCAACTGATGAAAATAAAACAAAATTAAGTAAAGACCCAGGGCATGTCACAGGTGGCAAAAAACTTGCTGAACACAACAGAAGAGTGAGTGAGGAAAAGAAGAAGAAAGGAGGTTCAAAGCAATCCAAAGATCTGCAGGATCCAAGCTGTAAGGGGGCAGGATTACAACCAGAACCATCATCATTGTTTTCAGTTAAGAGCTTACCGCTCTTCCACCTGCCCCTTTGGGGCTTCCTGTAAGAGTATAGTCAATGGATTTATTTATTTTCTTTTTTAACCAAATAAAAGGTCTGATAATAAGCTTGTTTGTAATACATTGACCAATTCAGCTACCCTGACTAGATTGGCTGCTAGAATTGTATGGTTTGCAAAGAAATTCATTGAGGAACCTATGACATCTGAGTTCAAATCTTAAGAACCCTGTTAAGTTCACTGTCGTGATCACTGCATCATTTGCAACAAGAAGATATCTTGAAGAACAAAAGATTTTTCTATCTTATAAAAGTTCAGCCTACTTACAATGAATGCAATTAAGTTAGCAACAGTCTGTGCAATCATTGAGACAGCCTTAATATTCTAGATCAGTGACATAGAGGCAAAACTTCGTCAAAAGAGTTTATTCAAGAGTTTATTATGGTCTAAAGGCTTTTGGAAGGGATTGCCAGCTGCAAAGAAGTTGGCTAAAGAAACCTGAGTTTCTAAAGATGATGCATAACTTTGGCTGACGAGGCAAGCCATCTAGCAGATTTAGTTGCCTGCCCTGAAGCATATCACGACCAACTTTTGAAGTCAAATCTCCAAATGTGGTTCATCAAGCTGATCTTCTTTTCCTTCCTCATAACAGGCTCCCAAGAGGTAAGAAAGTCTACAAGTATGCATTGATAGTTGTTGATGTTACAAGCAGATTCAAGACTGCTGAACCTCTCACCTCAAAGGCTTTTCAGACAATCTTTAACTGTGGACCACTGAGGTGTTTAAAAGTTCTTCAAGGTGATCCTAGGCATGAATTCATGGGTAATGTCACAAGAGAGATGACAAAGCATGATATGATGATAAGAAGAAGGAATGTAAACATTCACAGAGATCAGAGAATCATCAAGCGACTTAATCAAACTTTAGGTGAGTGTCTCTTCACTTTCCAATAAAGTCAAGAGATGAACTTCAAAGAGGGAAAGAGATCAACCTGATCAACCAGAGGTTTCCAGAAGTTGTTTTAGCTTTGAATATTGAAGTGACCAGGTTGACAAGAAAGAAACCTATTGATGCAATCAAAGACAAGTCAGTTGATGCAAAGAGTTCAACGACTTATTCAAGACTAGTTGGCCTGAAGGAGAAGAGGCACGACTCCTCAAAGAATGTTAGATACCTCTATACCCCTGGTGAGCTGGAAGGTAGTCAGAGGCAAGTCACAGGTCAAATCTGGTCTCTGAGGGTCTTCAATATCAATAGAATACTTGTGAATAGAGATACACATGTACTCTACTATCTGAAAGATGGACCAAAGAGTGGTTTTGTCAGAGGAGAGCTTCGGATTGTTCCTCCTGGAACCAAGTTACCTCTTGAAGAAATATGTTGATATTAAAAAAGAGAATAAAAAATGAGTTTCTCAACAGGCCCAAGCAATCCTGATGAATCAATTCAAGAAACTGGTAAAATTATCAACAATAAAAAGATTGTCAATCTTGCCACTCCAGATTTAAAATTTTTTTCTATTGATGTTAAACCTTCACCAGGATTCAAATGAAAAGTAAACCCTAACCCTAAGCAAAGTGGAAAATTGTCAGCTGTCAGTGGAATATGGATAGTAATGGCGATGCTATGGTAAATTCTTCTTCTTTCTGGTGTAATGGGAAAAAGCCTCTCAACTTTAGTGCAAGAGAAATTACTTACAATAACTAGGGGGGAATTTTCTGGAACAAGATGGAGATGATTTAGACGAAGGTTTAAACTCAGACTATCATACTTTTCTCATTTACAAAGACACTTTTATGACAGAAGAACAAATCATGACACACCACAACTTCTTCATCACTTGAAGACCTTTAGGTGATAAATGGTAGGTAAGGATCTACATAACGAACATTGGTTTTAAAAGTCAAACCAACCTGCAAAATGAGAAACCTGTTATGATCTAAATCAATTCCACAATCTTTAAGAAGTCTTGCCACCTCCTTGAAAGGAACTTTACGACCATTAACATGATAGTCCGAACTATTGTCTTTACGGGCTGTGCGAGACACAACAAATTGACTTCCTTCTATAACTTCATAATCATCTCCAGGCTGTAAATAAAAAACAAGGTAATTATGATTGAAGCTGTAAACTGAACATTTTTCAAAAGTTTGGGGGTGCATGACATTGGGATCTTCTGTTTCCTTAATCTTACATCCACAAGAGTATTTTTGTAAGGGCTGCATATTTTGACAGTTATGCTCATAAATGTACACTTTACAAGATTTTATATATTCAAAAGTTTCATCACTCAACCACAAAATGTCACAAAGTTACCATTTAATTATACTTGGTTCTACTTTGGTCTAGACAATTTTTTTCTCCTGAGCTCTTTGGGTAGAAAAGAGGGTAGCAAAGGGTTTATATGTGACTCTGTTTTGTTTTTACCAGCCACCAAAAGTTTTAAGTTCTTTTATCTATTTAACTTTGCAAATCGTGATGAATCTTCCTCCCTATTAACATGATTTTACTACAAATAAGTCTGACACTGATTTTAAACCAATGGTTCATAGGGCAAAATTATTTAGCCTGTCTCCAGTAACACAATATAGAGCCAAGGAACCTCATAGACCATTTTCCATCTAGGAGAAATGCAGGAGTAAACTTGACTGCTTCATCATATATAACCCTTAAACCCTGTGTAAATAACTGGCCCTAAAAGTCCAGTAAGACCCTTTAAAATATAACTAGCCCAACAACAATCGAAAAATTACTCTTTAGCTTGAGCTTGTGTAATTGTGATTTCAGAAATTGCAATGTACCGACTAAAACAAGGCATAAATGTCTTAAATAAGGCAAAACGACATCATGTCATGTGCATGAAATAAGAGAATCAAACAAAACCTCCACCTCCCCCTGAAATCTTACTCTCCCTGGTCCCATGTATAATCGAAATGAACTGCGAGAGCATGCCAATCATATTTTTTATTACCTCAGTAGTAAGACCTAAAGAACTTTACTAGCAGACGTTTTGGCTCACGTTTCATTTGACTACGTAATGGTCCAAGGTAGTGTTTTTCTCCATTTATAATCTCAGCAATGGAAATGTAATTGGAGCAAAATGTGAGTCCCTATTGCGTAAGTGGCACCACTCATACAAATGCATGCTGTATGAATGCCAGCATGATGGCGTTCGTATGTAGATTCCAAAGGTACGCACAGTTGGCTTGAAATAGTTCTAATGATCATTCTTACTCATACTTTTTCTAGACGTGAGCCAAAACATCAGCTGGTACCCAGGGTAGAAAAAGCCAAGTCAAGTCAGTCTTGACTATGAAGAGTAAAAAATAAAAATAAAATAACAAACTTGTGGTCAAGACTGACTTGACTTGGCTTTTTCTAGTTCATAGTCTTTTTATAGTTCATTTTGTAAAGTTCTTTAGCTCTTTTACTACTAAGGTAATAAAAAATATAATTGGCATGCTCTCACATTTCATTTCGTGAGATGGTTGATTATACATGGGACCAGGGATAGTAAGATTTCAGGGGGAGGTGGAGGTTTTTATTCGATTCTTGTATTTCATGTACGTGACATGTTGTCGTTTCGCCTTATTTAAGACATTTATGCCTTGTTTTAGATGGTTTTAGATAGTTTGCGAGTGGCTGTAGATGGTTGTAGGTGGTTTTAGGTCGTTCCATGTTTTAGTACTTACCAATGTACCATGCATATTTATGACAAGAGTTAGAAAATGAGTAACGCTATTTACGTTCAAAGTGACACAACTTACCATATCAATGATTTTTTGAAAATGAACGGCAACTGTGCAGCTCTGGACATTTTGATGGTTTTCTGAGTTGTGTATCAGTTGTGAAACTTTCTTTGTGCGAATCATTTTCGAGCGGTAACCAAACACGAACAACATCGCATCAATAACGTTCGATTTTCCGCTTCCATTGGGGCCAACAATGGAAGAGAAATTCTGAGGAAAAAAAGAATTTCAAAAGAATGACTGAGTAACAAACTAACCTTACTCGGGCAAAAGAGTTTTATTATTAGGATACTATGATCAGCCTCAGAAATGAAGACAACTAGTCAATCAAAGAAAACACGGTTGGCTATACAAACCTTATGAAATGGCCCCAATTCTTGCGTTCCCGCGTAAGACTTAAAGTTTTCATTAACTATTTTTGTAATCATTAGTCGAGCTGTACTGCTTCCGGATATTTCCGTCGCCTTTTCAGTTCCCTGATTTCCCCGCTCTGGAGCTTGATCGTTATAAACTACGTCCGCCATCTTGCTCATCCGATTTTGGCGCCAAAACAGTTTCCCATAATTCCTTACTGGTTCCATTGCTGAGAAAAACCAGAAGCAGCCGGCTGTGACTAAAAGTGAGACGGGGACGTGGGACTCGGGGACACGCGGGGACTCGGGGACAAACAACACCTAACATTTGCGCTGAATTTGTAGAGTATAATTTTCGATGGTCTCATGAAAGCTATTTTAAGCTGGAGAGCTTGTCAGTAGTAGCCGATGGTTTTCAGCGTCTATGGTTCGGCCGGACATTTTTGCTTGCTTATTTGACCGTGAGAACTCTGGGTACAGAATAGTTTCAACGCAGGGGGTCTTGAAACATCCGTGCCTTATCCTTGTTAAAAAAGAATAAGGAAGAAAACACAGTTACTTACCAGGAAAGTCCTCCATGGCTGCGCACGATGTTTAAAACCCCCGGCGTTGAAACAATTCTGTAAAGCTGTACTCAGAGGTCTCACGGTCAAACAGGCAAGAAAACATATCCGGCCGAACCATGGACGCTGGAAATCATCGGCTACTATTGACAAGCTCGGGTAACGTTATAGCGGAGGCGTTCGTCGAGGATCGAGCACACAAGTTTATAGTTCAGCGATTAAATTCAAAATAGGTTATGTAGGCTTCAGCACTTGTTCCCACGAAAAGTTCAAACCTGAGATGTACAAGATCGTCCTGAACAAATGAGCCTTGAGGTCCTGCAGCAGTTTCTTGATTTTGTTATCAATGCGCCAATAAGCCTAACAGAAACGTTTGAATTTTAGACGGCAACTTCGTCTCCTAAAAAGTAAATTATGAGAAAGATTCTCCTTGCAGCGTTGAGTCCGTTGAGAGAAGTTCAATGTTTTTTACTTACGTAATACGAAAAATTTGTCAACACTGAAACGTCAAATGATTCGTGAAATAACGAACGGGAATTTCAGGAATTGTATACACCCTACGTTTATGGGGAATTCTGAAGTAAATGGATGTAAATGACCTTCCCGATTTTGTTTCCGCAATATGCGAAAAGTTCGATGGATTCCTCCACTAAAATACCTAAAAAAATTAAAACAGTTTCGCGGGTTATGCAAAAATCGAATGCTACTGGTACGTTATATTATATTTCAAACACTGTTTTCAAAAGGAATTCTCATCTTTGTTGGTGTGTGGAGACAATGCCGAGTTTCATTGCTTAGATGGTAAACGGTTTAACGAAAAATTGGATCGGTACATTATCACCATTGTGTTCAAAGACGGGAGACGCTGCAAATGCATAATTTGAAAAAGTATTTCGGTATACTAGATTACGCACTTAGAGTGTTTTCCAAGTGCTTTCCTTTATATGAAATACCTTTAAATATTTCAACACTTTTCCGCCCGGTGCATTGCGTAAGTTTTTACAAAATTGCCTTCAAAAGATAGTCTTTGCGAGACCCACACTGAATTGATAAAAGCAAAAATTCAGTTAAAAATAAAAGAAACTGCCCACCATTTTTCGAAAACCTCTTGTGATTTAAGTCCTTTGAGTGCAAGGCCTTCTTTACAAGGCATGTGGAACTACTAAGAAGAAAACTCTCGAGCATATCCTCGAACTCATCTCTTTCCATCGAAATAACCCACGAAGTACCGGTTTTCAACAGAACAATTTTCAAGGTTTTCCTCAAGGAAGTCAATCTCCGATTTGTTTAAAGAAGATTGATTGGTCGCCGCCATCATTACGCATTCTAGTGTCTTATTCTAGTGTCTTATTCTAGTGTCTTATTCACTTCCCCGAGTCCCCGCGCGTACCCGAGTCCCCGCGTCCCACGTCCCCGTCCCACGTCCCCGTCCCACTTTTAGTCACAGCCGAAGCAGCCATGTGCACTACCATCGAATGATCATTGTCATACATAAATTTTAAGGAAGACCTCTAGCTTGTTACGAATCTTGATTCACGTTTGTACCTTTCTGTTATTTCCTACTAAATATTCTACCATCTTAAGTATAGATACACATATTTGCATAGATCGTATTATTGATACGTACTATCAGTTTTACTTTTTTTTCCGATTAGTTAGTATATCCAATCATAGCTCGGTAAGTTTCAGGAATGAATTTGCTTCAGCTAAGCCAACATTGGAAAGACTTATAATTGTATTAATGCCTGTTATCTAAAAGGAATAAGAATAGCAGCGAATGAATTTTCAAGCGCGATGTCGTCAAGTCCATAGGACTAACATCACGGCACTTATGGGAGGGCAGGACAGCTTTTGGTGGGTAACATTTCTAAGAAGGCTATAAAAGATTAAAGTATGTTTCAGAGCGTCTTCATTGAGAAAGCGATTTCACCAATTTAGGACAAACTCTAGATATGTACTCCGAAATCTTCCTCATGGATTCCTTGACGGTCGATGATTATCGATGATCATCAGTCGATCACTCAAATTACTCAACGTTTTTTCTACCCACAAAAATCAAATGTACCCAGAAAAACGAGAAAGTCGTTGGTTTAGAGGGGAAGACGATAGAAAATCCAAAGGATGGCTTCGATTTCCTTTAATCTGAAATAAAATCAAAGTTTGACGATCCCCAAGATTTCAAGGGATCATCGGTCAACTAAAGAGACACCGAGCGCTTTATCATAATTCCATATGGCAAAAAAATAAACAATGTTTATCTGTGAAAGAGAGACTTCTATACTGCGTGCCTTTGTAAAGTGGAAGGTAGTAGTAAATTCAGACACTAATTTCAGTTATGATCAAATGTTTACAGCTGGTTGAATAACAACTGGTATTTACGCTTTACTGAGCTTGGGAAAAGTCCCGCAGTTTCCCTGCTGAATTTTTTTAATTTTTCAAAAGCTTTAACACAGTTAACTTAATATCCAAAAATCCTCTCGCTACAGAAAGTGCGAGAAGTTCTGTTATAAAGTGGGATAAGTGTTTTTACAGAGGAAAACAGGTATTACAAAGTGCGACGATTGTCACAAAGTGCGACAGAAAAACTAAGCTGTAAACAACTTGGTAATCATTTCTTAATGAGCAGTCCACATATATGAATGATTTTCATTTAATAGCAGTCTCTTGCTCATCACTTCATGAGCTTGTTACGCAGCAAAAAAATGACCAGCTCCCAGTTGACTTGCTAACTCAGTTGGTAGGGTACTACTCCTCTACTATATCGCAGAGGGTTCAACTCCCGTACAAAACTGAATTTCCTTTTTTAAAGTAAACCTCTCACAGAGAGCTTTAAGTTTGTAGCGTAAAGCCCACCAATTTACACCCCCCTCCTATCTACCACCTCTCCCTGAACAAGAGTAAACTGCCGCGATGTCACCATTTAAAAATTGGTACATGCGTCGGCGTTGCGTTCATCGAGGTGTGAAGCATGCGGGAAGTTTAGAGAGCGAAAAAGATGCGGAAGAGTCGCTGGGGACGTAGGCGGAGTGCGTTTTTAACTTTCTCAGTGCTTCACATCTCAATACTCGCACAGATGACGCTTGGCCTGATGTTTTCTCACATTTCCAAAGCAGTAGATTAGATATCCCAATAAAAAAAGGATTTGCCTCTGCTACATGCATGTCATCAACGTGCACACCAGGAACGCAAGGCACGCTGGCGCTTTAAAAATTGCTTACCTAAATTTACCAAAAATGTTTCAGGTGCTTAGATGATAATCACTTTTACGATATCAAAGAATATACAAGCAGAGAAGGGTAAGGACCGATTTACTTTGAAATTTCAAAATCGCCGATAAGTTTCAAGGTGAAGCAATTGTATAGCCTTGATGTACCAAGGGGATGTACCTGACGTCTAGAAGATTACACTACTTTCACCTCTCACTTTATAATAATTAAAATAATGGACGAAATAAAACGGGGAGTTAATTTCTCTCATATTATTTATTTAATAAAACTAAATATGGATACGATTTCACTTTTGGAGCGTTCTTCATTTGAGTACTGCAATACCAAAACATAGTGACACACAACGACTGATCACATCAAGGGCGAACATCGTAAGAAACAAAGAAAAGGAAATACACATGGCTAGGAATAAGCGCGAGATTACGCGTGAGATCAACAGGATGCAACAGATGATTGGTATTAGTTTCTAGATGATCAGTCAAAGTGGAGTGGTGATGCGTTTATTGTCTAATCACTGACAGAGCTTAGTAAAACAAAGAAAAACAAAAGCAACCCTGGATTAATTGCGATCCTCTATCTACAACAACATTTGCTGTGGTTATAACTGGAATTACAAGCTAAACTCAGCCATCTGTATCAACCTAACAAAAGAAGCCAAATAAAAGATTATTACCTTTCGTAAATCAATCGTTAATTCAATTTAACCTTTATCAAACATATCAGTGTCAAACAAATGACACCATTTGAACCTCATCAGCTGCAGTTGTAGATCTGGGGGAAGGGGAAGGGGAAGGGTCCGCGGGGGTCTGTAGCCGTTCCCTCCCCCCCTTGAGCTTGTTTATTACTTGAGTGACACCAAAATTCTTGCAAAAACAGGGTTGCACATTAGATATGTTACTTCTCAAAGTGAAGTATTCAAAATTAACTTGTCTTAAAGTAATTACTGGTTGTGTTTTCACCATTAAAGTTTGGATCCTCTCCGCCCTGAGCTGAACAGCTTATAAAATACCTAAAACACACACGACTTCTGACGCAAAACATCATTTCCTTCTCTACACAAAACGCAAACAAACATTTTTAGACAGAAATCAAACTTTCTACGGTTTTTCTGAAAATAAACTCATCACACTAGCACGTAGTTGGAAACTTTTGACACTCATAAACGGGGAACTCAATTGTGACTAATTTGTATGCAAGTAAATAAACAATTCCACGACTAATCAAGGCGCGTATAGAATCTCTAAATTAATGTTTATTTTTTTCAACATGAAGAGAGAGAGAGCTCTTTTATAATGCTTCTCACGGAACCCACAAAATGAGTTCGTGTCTTACCTTAGGAACCTAAACAGCTGTCCTTTGCACAATGCCAATCACCATTATCA